TATTGAAAGGACTGCACAAAGCCATTGAAAGCTTTCAAGTGGAACAGGGACACACCCAGGTGTACTTAAGCAGAAACTAATGGTAGGCTTCCAGCAGGGAAGCAGTTAAAGACTGAATGAAGAACTAAATCAGGGTAGCTTAGAGGTGATTAAGAGGAGGTAATGAATATGTAAGATCCTGCTGGATCAATCAGTTGGCACTTATTTGATGTTTGGTGGTAAAAAAAAAAAAGGCTCCAGAAAGGGTCTGATTTACGGGCACCCATTAGATAATAATATTTTGCATTTTTTATGGACTTTAGAATTCATAAAACACTATTAAGCCTTTACACTCTAAATAGAATTTTTCTTATTATTGCTGAGGAAATAAAGAATTCAATGATTTTTCTAAAATAATAAAGAGAAAAAATATAAATCTTATAATTGTCTTTTATTTTTTTGGTCAGTTTACCTAAAATACCCTTCTTTATAAACTTGGGGGAAAAAACATTGATATATTGTCCCAAATTATGCTGCTACTTTTGAATATGAGACATTCTTTTTTACCTTTTTTTTGAGTTTTAATTTCTCCAGATGTTCTTACGTTTTCTACTTTGCAGTGATACTTTCAGAATAAAATGTATTTTTTAATAAAAATTTTTAGCGAAGTCTTTAATCAGAAAATGAGTACTAAGAACTATGCTTGGTATTAGATTACAGGATATATAAAAATACAAATCCTGCTTTTGCAGGATTTTACAGATTTGAGGAGAAAAACATGTGAATATAAGAAGCTGTAGTAAATGTCTGTACATGTGATTCTAGAGTAATAGAAAGGAACTAGGAAAATTAGGGAAGTCTTTCCAGGGAGATATGAATCTTGAAACAAAATAATTTAACTATGATGAAATGTTAGGCAAGGCAGAGGATGAATTATGTAGCAGTGGGACTGAAAGAGTACAGCAGTTAGGGCTCATGCATAGCATGTGTTGACCCATATTCAGTTCCCAGTAGCGCATCATTCTCTGCATTGCTGGATGCAGCTCTGAGGCCCCCAAACACACCAGGTATGGCCTTTGGTGCTCCCAGCACTGAAGGGAAGGAGTAACCCAGCTATCCCTAGCACCTTAGGGCTAAGCAGCAGAGCTTTTAAAAATTTATTTATTTATTTATTTTGCCAGGGGCATGGGGGCACACCCATGCTCAGGGATTACTTCTGGTGGTGGTTGGGGTACCATATGGGATTAAACCCCAGTCAGCCACATGCAAGGCAAATGCCTTAACCCACTGTACTATCGCTCTGGCCCAATAGCAACAAAGCTTTTAAAATTGTACTTGGTGCATGTCAGAGACTGGGGATTTGAACGGCTGACCATATACTTGCAACATCACTGTTGTTTTGATGGTAAGATTGTATTTACCTATTACTTAGAAATTAATTTGAGTTAAGAGCGTTATGCAGAGGGGCTTGCATATATTGTAATATAAATATTAGCATCATTAGTAATCAAAAAAACATAAAATGAAAATAGTGAGTAGGAATGTAGATCAAGTGGTAAAGCACATGCCCTGTTTGTGTGAGGCCTTTAATTCAGGTCCCTGATATCATAGCTCCGAGGGTATGTGTATATATTATATATCACGGTCACGGTCCTCCCGTTGTTCATTGATTTGCTCGAGCGGGCCCAGTAACGTCTCCATCATGAGGCTTCAAGTTACTGTGTTTGGCTTATTGAATACATCACGGGTAGCTTGCCAAGCTCTGTCGTGCAGGCGAGATATTCTCGGTAGCTTGCCGGGCTCTCCGAGAGGGGCAGAGGAATCGAACTTGGGTCGGCCATGTTGGCTGCGTGCAAGGCAAACACCCTACCGCTGTGCTATCGCTCCAGCCCTCAAGCAAATGAATATCAAACAATCCCCCCTGAAAAAAAAACCCAGCCATTAAAATTTGTGGTATAGTTACATTTATTCAAATAAGACATGTTAGTAGTGAATATTCTGATATATTTAGCTTATGAGTGATATTTATTTTCTTTAAATTTTTATAATGAAAGACATGATGGAAACACATTTTGTTTCTAGTGACGTTTATAAAACTATCATGGTGGGAAATTTTTAAAAATAGAATGGTATTTAATCTTCTTTACGGGAAGTTTGAACTCTGGAAGTTCAAAATTAGCATCATTACTTATGAGCTTGTAGACACCAGAAAAAGTTTCAACTTGTTGTTCCACATTATTTTGTTGTGTTTTATCCTGAATTTTTATGATTTGAGTGGTGTACAGTTTCACATGGTGCTCACAATTTCACTTGGATAAACCTAGTACTCCAGGATTGCATCATACATATTGCTTAGAATTCTGCTCCTGTGATACTTTCACTTATTTTGTGCCAGGCACTGTGCTTAGTGATGAATGAATAAGTCCTTGGTTTTACAGCACAGTTCAGATTTAGTTATAGTTGATGAAGTTTTTTTGAGCAGAAATAGGTAAAAACTTATTTTCTATTCATATCCTTCTAGATATTGAAGGCATCCATAATGTTTTGACATTTGACAAATTCAGTTACTATATTATAATAGTTTGTCCATGTTTCTGTCTGTGGAAGGAAGAAAGAAAGATAGCCTCTCCACAGTCACCATGATGAGATTTCAGTAATTACTATCCTTCAAGGTTACAACTGACGTCTTGAAGGGTCATAGAGAGAGCATAGAAGTTTTCAGCTGTGAAATTCATGTGGTCAGTGACATCTGTTACTATTTACAGTTCTCTCTTCATTCCTCACAGAGTTTCTTCTACATAATAGATGCTCAAATATTTGTTTACTGGCCATTTGAGTGAATTAATAGATCTAGACTCTAAAATATATGGGCAAAATTGCATTAAAACTTTGAATCTCACTATCAATTCTGAGTGATATATTGTACAATTTATAAGGTTTGACTAAAAGACATTATGTATATGAATATACACCAGAAACACTTGTTATATATAATTATATATGCAGATTATTCAATGGATGGCAGTGCTTATGGGAAAATTTAATAAAACTTTTATTATCATCATGTAAATGCTTATTTTTCCTATAATTATTATCATCCCTATTATTATATTATGATAGTGTTATTTATGGTTCTTGCTTCTTAAAGATATTATGTATTATAAAATATTTTTACTAATATTTTGGTTTGCATTATACAGATGAATAAATTATAGAGATTAGTATAGAAGTTTTTTTAATATGAGGTTTGCATAAAGATACTCATATTGGAGGAGGGCTGAGAATGTTGCTCAATGGAAGAGCACTACTCTGTATGTATGAGACTCTAGTTTTGATCCCTGACACCAATACAAAAAAATAAAAAACATCTAGGAAGGTAGAAAGCTATGCTGGTGTTTTAAATTATGCTTTTCATCTTACTAATTAGCTTGGTTAGGTTCTCAAATGATATTTTTAATGTTCTCATTTGTGTTTCTAAAACATTAGGCATACATCTGCTGTGTTGACAATGGTGTTAAAGTTCAGTGTAATAAAAATTTATCAGATAAAGTATATCTTGAACCTTGTGTCGATCAGCAAAGCATGTCAGCAGTTACTTATATGCCAGTTTTGAAAGGACAGGTACCCAAAGGAAAAGAAGCTGTCAGACTATTTAGAAATTTAAGGTTAAATGTCCTTAAGATTACAAAATCTTCAATAGACATTTCTCCTTATCCTTCCTGCTAAATACAGCTTAAAAATCTGGACAGTGTCAGGGATAGAGAGATAGTACAGCGAGGGCCAATCCGGATTTGATCCCCAGCATTCCCTATTTTCCCCTAAGCACCACCAGGAGTGATACCTGAGTATAGAGCCAGGAATAATCCTTGAGCATTGCCAGGAGTAGACCTAAAAGAAGCTAACAACACCAAAAACAAATCTGGACACTATAAATAATAATACTACTGTGAATGGTAGAAACATTGACTATTCGTGAGATTGTAGAAAAGATACAGCACCAGTGTGCTATCTGCACCCCTACTAGGTGGCAACAGGATGACTTTTCTTCTCCACCCATGGAGTCAACAAAAGCCAAATAGAGAACCTTGAGTTTTCACTAGCAACTAGCATACTGGGGCAATTATAGAAAGTCATAGAAAGCCTGAAAAACAAGATTTAAATTAGATTGAAAGTTTTATAGGTAAAGGTAAAATGTAAAGGCCCTCCCGTTGTTCGTCGATTTGCTCGAGTGGGCCCAGTAACGTCTCCATTGGAGACTTTGTTGTTACTGTGTTTGGCATATTGAATACGTCACGGGGAGCTTGCCAGGCTCTGCTGTGCGGGCGAGATACTCTTGGTAGCTTGCCGGGCTCTCCGAGAGGGGCGGAGGAATCGAACTCAGCCATGTTGGCTGCGTGCAAGGCAAACGCCCTACTGCTGTGCTATCGCTCAGCACAGCTCAGAAAGTTTTATAATAAAAATCCAGACAACAACAACAACAAAAAAACTCATCACAAACAACCAGGAAACTCTCAATGAAATGAAAAAAGACAAATATTAGCTGTGAAATACCGCGGATGTTTTTCACTTGCAAGGTTTTTATTTTATTGTGCATGTTGATAGGCTAGGTGTCTGATATTTATTTATAATACTCATTTGTTTCCAGTAAGGATTAAGATGAGGTCATACACTTAGCAATAAAGTTTTTTGTTTTGGGGCCATGTCTGATGGTGCTCAGGGGTTACCCCTGACTTTGCACTCAGGAATCACTCATGGCAGGCTCAGGGGACCATGTGGGATGCTTGGGATCAAGCCTGGGTTGACTGTGTTCAGGGCAAGTGTCCTACCTGCTGTTCTATCTCTCAAGTTCCTAGAAATAAGTTATTAAAATTAGTAGCGCACCTGTTGGTAATCATCTACACATGATTAATGATGCGAAAATGTGCCTTAGGGTATCCTATAAGAAGTAGCTACACAATTTAATTTCACAAAATTTGTTCAATTTGGCTTTTATTTACTGTTAACATTTTATTGGTTTTTAGGTATTGGAAGAAGCAGAAGCTCAACATTTATATCAGTCCATTTTGCCTGATATGGTAAAGATTGCACTCTCTCTACCTAATATTTGCACTCAGGTTGGTGGAAATAAATTCTTCCTTGGTTGCTTCCTTGAGATTCACAATGAATTTCCTCTAAACTCTCATGGACAAGGTTAAAGAGAAAAGGGAAGTGGGGAACAGTTTTTGCTAAAAGAGTATGATAAAGATAGGCTAGGGACAATGTTGCAAATGGACATTAAAAATGCAGCATTCAATATTTGAGCTTCAGTTTACACTATTAAAGTTTGCTTACTCTACTTTTTTTGTTTGTTTAAACAGTCCAACTTAAAAAAAATAAACCCACACTAATGGGTTTAGAACATTTTATCTTCAAAATAACTCTTACTCACCTTTTCTCTCCCTCCCCCAAAGCAGTGTATCAATAATAGTTGAGAGAGTTTTAAACTTTAAAAAATGAAATAAGCTGGTGTTATTTCACTTTGCTTGGAAGGTATTGATTATTGATGAGTAACAAATTATATCAAAATTACATGGCTTTTAACATCAGACATTATAGGGGCTGGAGAAACAGTACAACAGGTAAGATGCTTTCCTTGAACATAACCGATCTATGTTCGATTCCTGGGATCTCATATGGTAACACCCCAAGAATAGCTGAGTGAGACTGCCCCCCAGAAAAAAAAATAAAATTAAATTTAAAATACATTTTTTCAATATTTAAAATAAAATAAAATCTACTGAATACAAAATGCAGTTTTGTAGATTATACAGGAAATTTAAAAATCATTGAATTTGGATTTGGTACCGCCTGAAGATATTTTAGAATATGAAATTTGGTTCAAAATTGCGCTGCATCTTCCTTGACTTTGATAATGTATGAAATAGTCTGTCTTCTTATAAGTGGTACAGTAATATATATGTATATATTTAATTATTTCAGTGATGAACTTGTTATGTGAAGTATGATTCAAACTTAGAAGGAAAAAACTTTATTAAACTTTTTTCTTGAGATCATTTTACTTAAATAGAAAAGTTACTCTAGCCAATAATCTTCAGTATAAGCGATAACAAAATTTTGTGTGTTAGTAAGAACTGAACAGCATTGCAGTTTTCTGTTTCCTCCTCTAATTTTTTATTATGTGGGTAATGTGTTTTTATTTTTAATATTCTATAGCAGTCTTTATTTCTACAGATAAGTAATGTTTTGTGTTCTCTTCATGCCATTTTTTTTTAATTATAAATCTGCAATTTGTTAAAACAAGTATATTTTCCCAATCTTCCTTGATGACCTGCCCTTGACTTCAACAGTATTTCTGATTGAAGGATTCAAGAGTGGCCTGAAATTACTCCTGCCTTAATTTGGCAAATGTAATTTGGTGCCCCTGCTTTTGAAATTGCTAAACTAATTATTGCTCTTCTTGTCTGTATTTTTTGTTTTCTCTATCAGCCAATACCACTCCTGAAACAGAAGATGAATCATTCCATCACAATGTCACAGCAACAAATTGCCAGTCTTTTAGCTAATGCTTTCTTCTGCACATTTCCACGGCGAAATGCTAAAATGAAATCGGAGTATTCTAGTTACCCAGACATTAACTTCAATAGGTATGTTTTAAAGTGAAATAGAGAAGAATAGAAGGAAATGCTAGTATTTATCAAGTGATTTTCCATAGGGAAAATATATTATGTTCATTTGTATCATCTCATCTTTATCATACATCTAGTAGTATAGTATTTGTAACTTTTTTTTTGACATAAATTAACGTTTATGAACCTTATAGAACTTGATTATGGACTGTACTACTCTACATGTTCTTTTTACCCAGTCAGATTGTCTTCCAAGTGCACGAAATTCACAGACTAGTTGTTGTGTATATATGTATACATACATAATCTCACACAATAACTCTTTCTAGATGTATATACATTTGTATGAGGGGTTTTGGTATAATGTAATGATGTTAACTGGACATCAAGTCATTAAATTTAGGAGTTTTGAAAATTACACTTGTTAAATTAAAAGTGAAATTCTACAAACAACACTTTGTAGACATGAGGAATTTATCAATATATTTTTAAAAGAAAGACAAAAATATGTTGAAATTCTTCAACTAATTTATCAAAAGTATTATTAATGTGGCAGATTCTTGCTAGGGACATAGTTCAAAAGGCTAAAGGACATGCCTTATATGCTAGATTCCAAGTTTGAGTCCTTGAACTGCATTGCCCTGAGTACAATTTGGTGTACATCTTTCCCGCGCCCCCCCCCCCCCCCCCGCTTTCTTTCTAGTTTTTTGGTGGTTGGGTGTGGTGGGGCAAGCGGTAGATTGGTTTGGGCGACACTCAGTGGTGCCTGGGGCTTACTCTTGGCTCTGCACTCAGGAGTCATTCCTGGGGACCATATGGGGTATTGAGGATTGAGCCTGGGTCAGTTGAGCCCAGCCATGTTTAAAGGCAAATTACCTACCTGCTGTACTATCGATCCAGCTCCACTTGGTGTATTTCTAGTGCCTGTTAGACACAAGTGGGTCTGAGCACCTCCAGGCCTAATATAGAATCTGCAGAACTGAATTGCCAGACTATATCACCAGATGGATCAGGATGGCCCTATGAAATATAAACCATACTTATTATGTAACTCAGTTATCAACTTTGTTAACATTACTAGGTAACCATACTGACTAGCAATAGTAAAATTATACCAGCTAGTAAGGTAACAGTGGTATGATACTGTTAACTGAGCTGCAGACCTCATTTGAGTTCTAACAATTTTTCTACTGCAGTTTTGTCTCAGGGTCTTCCCACTATTCTGCATTGCAGTTTGGCTTGCTTAGTGATCTCTACCTTCTTGTTTTTTCCTGTTCTTTCATGACTTAACACTTTCCAGAATTATTCATCTTTTTTTTTTTTTGGGGTAGACTGTTCCTCAGTCTGGTTTTTTTCCTTTTTCCTGAGATGATTTTGCAAATGGAATAGGGTCATGCATTTTTTGTGAAGAATGTCACAGAATAGATACTGTGTCTTTCTCAGGGCACCTATATAAGTTGGTATGTGAGCTCCTTGTAAAGATGTTGTCTGCTGGGGTTTTTACTCACAAATACTGACTTTTCCTTTGTGATCAGTAAATGTCTTGGGGGAGGTATGTTAATGTTATGAAAATGTTGTTTTTCCTCACATTATCCCCCACTGATTTTAGTATCTTTTGATTGTGGAATATATTTGCAATAGTTATTACTACAGTGTTTGCTATCATGGGTCTTCCCTCTTCTGTAATTAGTAATTACAGTACTTTTGTAACAAAGAGCTGTCCCTTTTGACCCTTTTTTATTTCTGTAAGGACTTGGGGTTAGACAAGTAGTATAGTGAGTAGATTGCTTGCCTTGTACACGGCCAGTCTGGGTTTGATTTCCAGCACCTCATGTGGTCCCCATAGCCCGTAAGGAATGAACACTAAGCACAGCCAGGAGTAAGCCTTGAGCACTGTCAGGTGTGGCCCTGAAACAAAAATAAGCAATTTGAAACGTTTTTTTTTTTTTTTTTGCTAGCTAAACTTCTTTTGGTGTATTTAGTTTTTGTTGTTTTATGTTTTTATTGTGTGTGGGAACGAGGTTGAGGGGCAGCGGGGGCAGGGGGAGGAGGTTTGCAGGGCATTCCCAGTAGTGCTCAGTGGGATCGAACCTGGGATTCCTGCAGGTAATACACGTTCTTTAGCCTTTTAGTCATTTCCTGGATTCTACAGTTAAACCTTAGGTAGGAAAACTTCTCGGGACTTATTGGTAATGGCATGTTTGTCTTTTTCATTGTCCACAGTAATTTTTCCTGAGCTTGAAACGGTTAGCTCAGAGTTTCAGCAAGTTAGGTTTGATGGGAAGTGGATCATTTTTCTTAGTGATTGGAATATTGATTAGAACTGTGAAAGCGTTTTATGTAAATGGATGTTGATCTTTTTTTATAATATGGACATTATATATGGCCTTATTCTAGCCCAAGCTCCTCTGCTTATTCAGCGTGATCTGAAATTTTTTTGCATATAAATTTCTCTTCAGTGGCTAATATTTGCTAAGAACCAGCCTTACATCAGTGACTATACTGTACTTAATCTTTACATCAATCCTATGAATTAAGTCCGCCCTCTGGATTAAATCTTTTCCTCCCCATTATTGTTTAAATGAAATGATGGATGCCTCAAGAGACTAGGTTACTTTAAGTTAACTGGTATAACTAAGATTCATACTCGAGATGTAACTGATTTCTAAAATTGCTGTCCCTTTTCTACTATGCTCTACAGTCTCCATTTCAATCGGTTACTAATATTTCATAGGTGTTAGGTAGAAGTTTCTATATCATTAAAGTAAATGAGTTGTTAGCAGATCTAGGACTTGAATTTTGTCTTCTGTAAATACTCAGTGATTTTTGTCTTGTCTTGCATCTTTTCAAGAACAAAATGCTCTGGGTGCACACCAGAAATGGCAAACAAAAGAAAGATTCCCTTTATCATGTATTTTATGAAAAATCAAGTACCTAAGTTGATAGGTCATTTGGTGAGCTTATGTGGATTATTTTGTTGTTGTATTTTTTTGTTGCATTGTTGCTATTTATGCTTATGTTGGCATTTGGGAGGGATATGTATATATTGTATATTTAATCTCAAAATGGTAACAGAATATTATGGGAGGATGATATCATAATTCAATAAGTCTTCCCTCTTTAATTTATTGTTGTGTTCTTCCCAGCCCTGCTAAGTTATGTTAAATACCCCTGACCTTTTCCCCTGCTTGCCTTTCAGGGCCTAAACATTCATATAAAGGCTTCCAATGTGATTAGCATTGATGCTTCTGAGATTGCTTAGAAACTGATGGTCAGAGATTAATTGTGGGTTACAGCAATGGTCAACCCAGGAGGCTTTTACATCTGCTTCTTCCCTGGATTAAAAAATGTTGCTGAGATCATGTAGGAGGAGTGTTTTGCAGAAAAAAACAGAAAGACTTTTTGGTTGCATCCTGGATTATCACTTACTTCCAATTTGGAAAAACGGGGAGGTAGTGTTGTGCACATTGCACATTCAAGGAAAGTTACTCAGGGAAAGACTTCATTAAACTCTGTTTCTCTTTTTATATATGGAAAGATACCCTTGATTGACTGGCCTTTTCTGTTTATGTTTCCAGTGCTCTGTAATTAACATTCAGTTAAATGTAAAAAATTGTCTTTCTTTTGTGCAGAGAAGTTATAGTTGAGAATATGTGCATGTTTACTTGCACATCTGCTGGTTCAGAATATACCCTCAAATATACTTATCCCTGGGCTTAAAAGTCTAGATGGTAAAAGAAATTGGTTTTAAAATACGAAAAATTGGATGATGCTTGATTATTATGAAATGGTCTCATTCTCTCTGAGTCTCTGATCTCTGTGTCTCTGAGTGTGTATTTCTCTCTCTGGGTTTCTGTTTCATTCCTCTCTCTCCATTTCTAATTTGTTTTTCTTTGCTTTTTGGGATCACTCACCTAGAAGTGCTTCGGGTCTACTCCTCACAGTGCTTGAGATACCATTTGATGCCAAGGGTTGAATCCTGGGCTCCCACATGCAAAGCATACATACCTTTAAAGTATCTCCTTGGCTTTGTCTCAGTTTCTGTCAGAATCTTTCTCCTCTATCTTGTATCATTTTTCTCTCTTCAGTCTCAGACTCTGTTCTCAATCTGTTTCCCTCTTCCTCCATCAAATTTGGCATTTCAGATAACATCACACTCGTGTGATGTTTCAGCAGTTACCTCTGTTTTTATGTTACTTTTGCTTGCTTTCATATTAGAATTCATTTTATTTGGTTAGCTATACTTAATACTTCATAATTTCACAAATGCAAATCAGAATTAACAAGGACTTTATCTCCACCTTCTTTCTCTTCTTTCAACACACACTTTCCCTTCCTTTAGGAAGATGGGCAAGCATATTTGGTAACATAGTAATTTGAAATAAGACTTAGATCAACAAATAAAATGAATGCATGAAAATTCTGCTTGATTTGTACCTGTAACATTTTCACCTGCAAAATAAACTGATGTTCATTTGTAGTGACCTAATATCAATCTTTTAGAAAATGCCTTGTCCCTGGCAGGATAAATCTGCAGTCCCTCAAGACTCCTAATGTTAATAATTTATCATCATGGTTATGAAATACATTAATTTTTGTGATATATTACTAATATCTGACCACATAAAGACACAAGACACTTTTGTGTTTGGAGAAGTTATTTTCTTTTTTTGAGCGGGAGTGAGTGCGCATACCCAGCAATGTTCAAGGGTTACTCCTGGCTCTACACTCAGAAATCAGTCCTAGAGATCAGCTTAGGGGTCCATACAACCCTTGGGCAACCACATGCAAGGCAAGCACCTTACTCACTGTAACATTTCTCTTGCCCTTGTTTGGAGAAATTATCTTTTTTGGTTGCTTTTTGATTTTGTTTGGGACCCACACCTGAGCTCCTGGCTCTGAACTCAGGAATAACTCCTTGCAGTGTTTAGGGGACTATCTGGGATGTCAGGGATCAAACCTCGGTTGGCCTGGGTTGGTCACGTATAAGGTAAGCGCCCTACCTGCTGTACTATCTCTCCAGCCCTGGGAGAGTTATTTCTTAAACCATTTTCTCCTCTGTGTAACAAGATCTGTGAAAGAGGAACTTTGCCCCCTGCTATCATTTCAAGAACAGGTGGTGGTTGAATTTACACTACTTTCTCTCCCAAACAGCACTCTAAAAGGGATTTTACAGTGGATCCCACTGTATTTATTTATAAATAAAATTTATTTGATGTATGGTTTAATTAAAAAGCCAGGTGATTTAATTTTGACTCTCATCTTGATTTAAGCAAACTATTTTGGTTGACATATTGCAAAAGAAGCCAAGCTGAAACCTACATTCTCAAAGAGCCTTTCAGCAGGCAGCAGAATTTTAAGAATATTTGTAATAAAGATTTTAGAAAAATCGATTAAATAAGTAAAAATGATCACACACACACTCAAACTATTTTAAAGGACTACGATGTTAAAATATTTTCTGGGCTGGGGAGATATCATAGAAGACTAGTGCACATATCTGGAATACCGAGACCTTGTCACTGCATAGTCCCCTAAGTCCCATTGGGGTGTCTCTCTGGTGGCCCTAGTACTGCTAGGTCCAAGTATTACTGGGCATAACATCCCTGGGAGTGGTCCAAGGACCTCTGACCACTTACTGGGAGACTGACCCACCTCTGAAAAATGGTTTGGGTTTTTTTTTTAATATTAGTTTTCTCTTCAGGAAATAAGTATTTGTATATATATTTTTCAGAAATAGATGCTGAATACAGGGCTTGAGATCATTAAAAATAGGACAGTTTGAAATCTGCATTTCTCCCTTCTTTCTAATACATTTCAGTCAACAGAATTTTGTCATGGAAATAACTTCTCTCTCTTTTTCATTGTTATGTAAGTTTGAATTTCTAATTATGAAACGATTTTCCCATTTCTACACTTAAAAAACTGGAGGCAGATGAATAATATCTCATCAATTTGTAGCAACAGAACTTTCCTTTAATTTTTAAATGCCTTTGGAAAACTGGATTTTGTCCCCCACAGCATGCTTTTGTATTTCAATGAACTACTTAGTCAGGTCATCTACTTGCATCTGCTTTTCTTTCCTCAGGATATATTGCATTATGTATTGCCAATAACAGAGAATGTCAGATCATTTCAAAGAAAACTAAATTAAGTAGTGCAAGTCTAGATTGTTAGAAACAAGATAGGGCAGACTCAGTTTTGGTTACCATATAAAGGATCTATTTGTTTTACTCTTCCAGTATCCAGTCTTAAATGTGGTGGTTGTCGGCCCCCTTCCTGTTCTCTGACAGGATCATGTGAATTTTCTGATACCATTCCTGTTAATTCATTTAACTATTTCATGTGATGAATTATAATAATATTTGTCATTGAGAAAATGATAAAGCATTAATTCACTGGCCTAATTGACTTTGGGGGACCAGATGGTGCCTTCTCCCTGGAGGAAGATAGATTAGAGAAAGGTGGTTGTTAGAGAGTGCCATTTGAATTAAATAACTTCTTTGTTTTGATTTGGTGTTTTGGCCATGCCTGCAGATGGTCAGGACTTTCTCCTACTCTGTACTCAGGTATCACTTCTGACAGTGTGTGGGGAACATATGTTGTCCTGGGGATACCACTTAGATTGGATGTATGCAAGTCAAGCTCTTTAATCTACTGTATTGTCTCTCTATCCCCTTGAACAATTTTTTATAAGCCTTCTTTTAGTTGTTTTAGGCCTCCAGATACCATTTGAATCCAAACCAATTTTCTAGCGCTGTAGAAGCATTATTAGGAATTATTTTTACCTCTTGGTAGCAACATAGATTCAATTTTTTGTTTATCTTCAGATAATTTATTTTGGTGAGAATTTGGTGTTAAAGTTTTTTTGTTTATTCTTTTGGTTTTTTGGTGGGGTTTTTAAATTTTTTTTAAATTTTTTGATTATAGGGATTGAACTCAAAGTCTTATACATGCAAGGCATTGCTTTACATGCAAGCTACATCCCTGGCTTCCATTAGGATTTTTGACCATTTTTTACCGTTTTATTTTTTTTCTCTTTCAGATTGTTTGAAGGACGCTCATCACGGAAACCAGAGAAGCTTAAGACACTCTTCTGCTACTTTAGAAGAGTCACAGAAAAAAGTAACTTCCTTTCATTCTTTAATTTTTTTCCACTCAGGACAGTTCAGATCAAGACAGTATTTTAAGCATAGCTTCTGTGCCCAAACCATTGAAACAGTAACAATTTAGTATTATAATATAGATTATATGTGTATTATCTACATATGTGTGTATTATAACTTTGTGTGTATTTTCTATACTGAAATTAAACCAGCATAACATGTACTAGTGGTTTCTCTTGACTAAAAATCCACTGTCCACTGTCCTCCCATTGTTCATCGATTTGTTCAAGCAAGCACCAGTAACGTCTCACAATAAATTGTGAGACTTGTTACTGTCTTTTGGCATATCAGATACGTCATAGGTAGTTTGCCAGGCTTTGCCATGTGGGCGAGATACTCTCAGTAGCTTGCCAGGCTCTCCAAAACAGTAAATTAGTACCAGTATATAAAGTGTTTTGACCAAAAAAAAAAGTTTTGATGCTTTTTATTTAAAGGAGCATTGACCTTTTCTTTTCTTTCCTTTTTTTTTTTGCTTTTTGGGTCACACCCAGCGATGCACAGGAGTTACTCCTGGTTCATGCACTCAGGAATCACTCCTGGCGGTGCTCTGGACCATATGGGAATCGAACCTGGGTCGACGGTGTGCAAGGCAAATGCCCTACCCGCTGTGCTATTGCTCCAGCCCCAACGAGCATTGACTATTGCAATTACCTTAAGTTTATTTGCACAGATCAACCTGTTCATTACCTTCCTAGCAACTCCTTTCTTTTATGCCTCACTCTTTTTTATGAAGTTCTTTTAAACAGTGTTGTGCAGTTTAACAGAATAAATTAAAAATAGTGAACACTGTTGTACTGAGGTTGGTAGAGAACTCAGGCCTCAGCAGTGGGCTTGATATCTAGCTCAGCTTAGAACATTGCCTGAGATTCACTGGATGCTGCATTCTGCCCACAAATCAAAACAACTACTACAGCGGGTAGGGGGGATAGCACGAGATAAAATTCGTGTCTGTCTTCCTCTATTGAACCTCAGCCATTTTCCCAGAGGCAAATAATAGCATCTGAAGTAATTGTAGTAAATGTCTTAATCATTGCTGGCAATAACCAATTATTAATAGATTGTAATTGCTACTCTTATCCTAGGAACAGGGTAACCATGGACAGATTTCTTGACATCTATAAGCTTCTGTTTTTTTCATACGTAAAATAAAAGAATAATGGTTGTTTACTCATGGAGTTCTTATGAATATTAACCGTTAACCAAAATCAAATGGTTCATAAATATTATCAAATCAATGTCTTTTTTAAAATCTATTAGAGAAGGGGACCAGAAAAAATTTGCTTTGCCAATTTGTTTCTGCCAGTAGAGTTATTGAACTCTGACCAAATGAAAGGAGTTCCTCTTTTGGCAGTGCTCAAAAAGATTGTCTTGGATGTATACCACTAAATCCTTATTTTAAATATATACATTTTCTAGTAATATCATTTATCATATTATCATTTTCTCCCATTAAATCTAATATTGTAGAAATTATCAGGATTTAGTTTGAGGAGAAAATCATATGCTGTTTTAATGAAGGGTTATGATAGCTTGAGATTTTTAGTTTAGTGCTGTATGCTAAATTAAATGTTAAGGAAAATATAGGGTTTGTAAGACATAAGAACAAACTAAAATTTGTAGGAACATTGTTTGTGGGGGTGTGCCCGAAGCAATCAGAACTAGTAAAAGAAGTCAGTTATAGTCTCTACAAGGGTTCAAGCTCTTGTCTTTTTTTGTTCTTCTTTTGTGACAGTATCTAGTGGTACTTGGGAGTCATTCCTGGAGATACTTAGGGGACCATGTGCTGAAGATTTCAGGAGTAAGCTAGCCCCAAGCACAGTCGTGTGTGACCCAAATACTGTTCCCCAAACCTCGTGTGTGTGTGTGTGTGTGTGTGTGTGTGTGTGTGTGTTAAAGAGGTGAGAGAACTCCAAAAGTACAAGAAAGTAAAAGTTCTTACCCTAAAGGAAGCCTTAGGCACCTCCAGAGAGGAGTGCTGTAAAAGAGGAACTAAACACCCAGCATTGAGATACGAGTCACTCCACCATGGAGTGCTCCCAATTACTTTGGAAAAATGGTTTTGTGGATTGTGCTGTTTCCTTAAACTACCTCAGCTTGGGCTGAGGGTTACTGCTTTCTTGTCTTAGTCTTAGGGATTTCTTTGTTCCTTATCAAGGTGTCCTTTCATCATCAGTGATTAGTGTACTAGATTTGTTTTTACCCCTTTTTAGACTATATCTTGTCTTTCCAAACACTTTCTGATATTAAGGCTCTGTCTTCCCAAACATCTCTTGATTATTTTATTGCCTTTTGTTTCTCCTTGAAGTTCACGACCCCCTCCCATCTCTCTACTTAATAAATTTCTTAAATGAGTACTTTTCTTTCTTTTGGTTTTGGGGCCACACTCGATGTTGTTCGGGGCTTAATCTTGACTCTGCACTGAGGGAGCACTCCTGGTGGGGTTCAGGGGACCATATGTGGTGCCAGGAATGGAATCAATTGTGGTTCCAGGGAAGCGTCTTACCACTTAACTGTTGCTCTGGCTTATGGAACGATAAATACTTTTTTTATATTTCAAATTTCAATGGGAGGAGCCCAATTCTTATAACTAATTAATTCAGAGTTTATTCCTCTATCCTGATATCAAATCATCTATGGCTTCTCTAAAAGCTGTCTAAATTTTTAGATTTTTAAGCATTTTGAGGGATATATGTAAAATTTTGTTTTATTAGCAGGAAATTTATGATTTTATCATAAAAAGTAGGCAGATAAAGGTTGTATTAGATGTTCCTTGCTCTAATATGTGGTAATTTAGTTCTTTATAGAAACACGTTACAGATTTTCAGACTGTTAAACTACAGTCTTGGGAAGGAGATACGAGATAGGGTAAAAGAGGCTTATAATTAATGTGAAACCTATTAAGAGTACCTACAATTATCAAATCGATGACATTGTAGATGGTAAGAAGTACCATCTTTTATTAATTACTGCTGCTACTATTACTATATACTATTACCATCTTTATTGTTACTTGTAGACCTCTAGGAAGCAAAAAAATAGAGATTTGTGGGGAGTGTTTGGGACCATTCTTTTGCCAAAAGTTTGCATCTTTAGTCTAAATGCTAAAGGTAGATGAGATTGTGATTACCTGATTGTGCAGAAAAGGGACATTGTGCTGAAAAGGGACATTGTGCCCAAAGGACCATTGAAGAAATTTCATTTTTAGGGGCTAGAGCCATGGTAACAGTGGGTAGAGTGTTTGTCTTGCACGTGGCCGACCTGGGTTTAATCCCTGGCATCCCATGTGATCCCCCAAGTACTGTAGGAGTAATTCCTGATTGCAAAGGCAGGAGTAACTCCTGAGCATTGACCAGTGTGCCCCCCCCCCCCCAAAAAAAAGAAAGAAAAGCAAAAACAAAAAAATTCTTTTTTTTCCATTTTTAATACTAGCACTAGGTAACAGGGTGATAAAACAGGAGCCGGTGAAAACATGAGCCCTAAGCCCCAATTTTAGGGTCTGAAATGATGTTACCAGTGTGGTACACAGAAGCCTGAAGCAGAGGATTTAATTCAGACTGATCTCAGGTTGATGGTACACAACTTCCCTGGAAAAATTCTACTTAATTTTAAATGCCTTCAGCTGTGAAAGGTGCATCCCAGTTTCTTAAATTTAATACATGAAATAACTTAGAGTTAATCAAATATAATTTCATCAAAACCAGCTATTCAGTATTGTCATGTATCTGTATAATTGTAATGAAGATCTTGAGACTAAAAGAGCTTTCTGAATTATATATTAAATTTAAATTTTTTTAAATAAATTATGTGTAGTATATTTTGTGATTTTTTTTTTTTACTAAGGAAAACACTTGCTTAACCTAAACAATATATTCTTCTATGAAAACTGCTTTTTATGTGAAATAAAGATAGGTTATTTGAAGGTGTTTTGCTATTTACAGCTATGAAGCATTGGGTTCTTTTGTCTTTCTTTGCCCACAGTATTCAACTCTTGTTGGACTCTCAGTATATACTAAGGACAACTTAATGTTCTGTGCCAAGATACTGAATCAGATTTACAGTAGTCTCCTTTGATTAGATTTGCTTCTCTAATGTTTGACATAATTTTAAATTGTGAGTTTTAAATGTGTTGTTCATTCCTCTTAAAAGTTTTACATCAAGGGGTTAAAGTACAAGGGAGAAAAGAAAAGTTATACACAATAATATTTAACTTATGTTAACAGAATTCTGTTTTCTAATATTGCTATTCTGTATTATTTTTAATTTTTATTTTATTTTGCTGCTTATGATTGAGAACAGAGAATGTAGAATTGTCCAAAGGAATGAAATGATTGCCAAGCTTTCATTGGTACTCTACCACCATTATCACTAATAGCTCCTGACATATTTCTCTCTGCTTAAGAGCTTTTTAAAAAAAAGAAGAAAAGGAAAAGCAGAAATGGTCTGGTCTTTTTAGTTTGTTCTTTGATTTGAATGAAAACAGATTACTTTTGGCCAGCTGATTTATTTGTTGCTTTCACCATTAGTTTAAAACCAGAAATAAACCTAACAAAAGAAAGTATCTAAATTTACTGCATTTTGATTCTCTCCTATCTTACTGCTCTTTGAAAACTGTCATCTTTCATTTCTGACCGCAGAGAACACAGTAATTCTTCCAGCTAAGACTGTTCTAAGTAGAGCAGTTGCTATTGTCTGAGCCTGAGATTTAGTTCTGTCAACCCCATAGAGTACACCAATAGTTTCCTTTTTTCAGTCTTAGATATTTTGTTTAAAATATAAATGTACCAACCTTTAGATACAGAGTTAAGAATATGTTCTCTTATAAATTGTAAGATGTCTAACAAGTTAAACATCTTAACTAATTTGAATTAGAGTTATCTTCTTTGAGAGAACATATACAAATTAAATTCAGTTGTATCTTTATTTCATAAACTTACATCTATTTTTATGTTTTAAAATCTGTTCAGTTTAGAAAATCTCACTTCAAAGTGCCAGCTCTCAAATTCAGATGTTGTTATGGGACCAGAGAGATAGTACATCAGGTAGGGTGTTTGCCTTGCATTGGCCAACGTGGGTTCGATCCCCGGCATCCCATAAGGTCTCCCAAGCACCGCCAGGAATAATTCCTGAGTGCAGAACCAGGAGTAATCCCTGAGCATCGCCAGGTGTGACCCCAAAACAAACAAAAACCCAAATTCTAATGTTGTACTATTATCTATTTATTTTAATTAGCGCTTATAAGTTCCTATCATACGGATCATATCTCAAATCTGTCCTCTATTGTTTTTCAACACTAGTCTTGGTATTTCTCTATTAGTTTTGTAGCCATTGTTAGACCCACCCTTTTACTGAATATATAATTATTTTCATAATCAAAACTTAACTTGGGTATATTTTTCTTTTATTACTATTATAGAACCTACTGGGTTGGTGACATTTACAAGACAAAGTCTTGAAGATTTTCCAGAGTGGGAAAGGTAATAATAATATAAAAACAGTCATGGAATCTTAAATATAAGACTTTTAACATGATAGGATGATAGGATTCTATTTCACAATACCTAAAAATATGGTTTTCCAATCTCCATTTTCCCTAATGATAGGGAGTTTTATCTCATAAATAATCCAGTGATCGCTGTCATTATTAGAAAATCCTGCCTTTTTTGAGTAAAAGTCTGCAACCATTTATTTAACTTCTACTCCTTTGTTTTTGTAGATTTACTTTTTAAAGCAAAATTCTGTTTAGAACTAAGGAATTTTATATGTAAAGACACTTAATTGAAACAGCAATGTTTCAATATTCCATTTACCCTTCTTTTGTAGGTATTATGGCTTTTCTTTTTTTTTTTTATGTAGGAGTACTGCTATTTATTCAGCCACTGATTAGCTGATTGAATTGTGCATGATGGCTTTTCTTTTTAAATAAAGACAAGAGTTCAAATTTTTTAAAAATTAAGAGTGACAGTTTTGAAGTTTGACTATGTGCGTATATCTATTGGTGGGTTTTGTGAAAATTGCAAGTGTACTGGTTTTTTTAATTGTTTACTGTAAACACCAAGGAGAATAATAACCAATCTGAATTTATTCAGATTTGTAAGTTTTTTAACACCTGAAATAAGTAACCGATTTCATGATCTAGAACAAATTTCTGAAGTGCTTAAAGGGTCAACTTCTTTTTTTTTAACATACTGTTAAGAACATAACATACTAAATGGTATGTTTTGGGTATGTGCATTGTATTAACCAGTGAATCTAATTTTAACTTTTATTTTTTTAAATACAGTTCTATTTGTAAACTATGTTCATAATGCAGATATTTCTGGCATTCAGTGTTCCAACCCCAATTCCACCACCAGTCTGACCTTCCCTCACCATTGTCTTCAGTTTCCCACCCCACCCCAAGCCTTCTCCTTTGCTGGCACAAAATAATTTATTTTATATTGTTTGTTGCAACAAAACGGTAAGTGAAGTGATCAGAAGTAGTTCAGTAAAAGAAAGTTTGTGAAAATTGTTATAGCTCACAATGGTGTCGTTAAAGTCATTGTCTGAGGATTTACTGAGCTGTTTGTTGGTAGTTGAGCATGTGTACCTGAGAATTTTGTGGGCTTGACTCCTCTTGAGAGATTAGTCATGAAGCAGTGAAATTGGGTCTTTTGTATGGTAATAGCTGTGGGGCATGGGCATGACTGCTAGGGTTTTGGCAGGGTAGGGACTCAGCCTGCCCCACTCTGAGGGCACCCCAGAGTTTTTGGTTCGAAGACCAGTGTACCCATGAGTTTCAGCAGCTAGGCTTGCATCTCTTCTGAGACTAGTCTTAGTTGTAAAGGTGTGAAGCTCAGCCGTTTATATAGTAGATGTTGTGAGATGTGTTCACATTTAAATTTCCTAATTATTTTTTTGGTTTTATATTGGGCCACACCCAGTGATGCTCAGGTCTTACTCCTGGCTTTTTTCCTCAAGGATCACTGCTGGCTGGGCTCAGAAGACCATATGGGATTCTGGGGATCAGTATGGCATGGGGCCATATTAGGCCCATGCAAGGCAAGCTCCATACATGCTATACTATCTCTCTGGCCCATGTGTTGTGTGTTTGTTTGTGTGTGTGTGTGTGTGTGTGTGTGTGTGTGTGTGCGCGCGTAGTTTTTTTTAAATTTGGGCCGAGGAGGAGGCCATACCCAGTGATACTGAGAGATCATTTTTTTTATCTTTTTTTTTTTAAATCTCCCCCACCTCTGGCACCCAGGTACATATTAAATTTACTCACTCTATTTCACTATAATATGAATTCTAATTCCTTTATATCTGCTTTTGTCATACCCCGTCCATTGGTTGCTCCTGGAAATAAAAGTGGCAGTCTGGTATATTATCAGTCCAGATTAAAATACAAAAGATTTCTTTCCTTACATCATTGTCATATGTTTCTTATCAGCCATATGTGCTTCCAGAGATCAAACCTAGGTTCACTGCATGCAAGGCAAACCGCCTACATGCAGTACTCTCTCATAGGCCCCGCTAATAATTCCTATGATTGTTCTGTTTAGAATTAGTGATTATAGGGACTTACGCTTAAAGGAGTAATGTGAGAAAGTAAATTTCCTTAAGATGTCTTTTCCCTAGGTGTTTCTGTCCATCAAAAGTTTGTGAGGAGAAAGACAAGCTTGCTTTAGGAAACTGAATGTACAACAGAGATGATTATTTAATAGAGCAAGTATAGGTGAAAGATTAGACAATATGAAAGAATTAAATCGAACCAGAAAAGAAGAAAACTTATACATTTTGGAGTCGTGATCGTTAGGGAAAAGGAGATTCCAGGAATCATCTAGTAAAATATCAGTTATCACTGTAGTACTTGCGACAGAGGCAGAAAAGTATCAGTGATGAAATTCATTGTCTCATCTTATTCTATCTCATTGTGGGTTGTTTGTATTAATATGTAATACATATGTTGTAGTACATGTCCTAAAAAAATCTTGAAATAATTTTACCTTTTTCCACTCCCTGGTTCTTCCTTCTGGCCCTCCAATAAGTACATCTAATTTTATTTTCATTCATTTCCCCCACTCCTACCCTCATCCCAACCCCCTCTGCTAGCGTCCTGTATCTTAATGCTTTTTTTTTTAATCTCCCCCACCTCTGGCATACAGGTACATATTAAATTTACTCTATTTCATTATAATATGAATTCTTATTCCTTTATATCTGCTTTTGTCATACCCAGTCCATTGGTTGCTCCTGGAAATAAAAGTGGCAGTCTGGTATATTATCAGTCCAGATTAAAATATAAAAGATTTCTTTTCTTACATCATTGTCATATGTTTCATTTATGTCAATTTGGTATGTATAGTATTCAAGTAAGATCTACACTGTACAGCTGACACTTGACACTAATATGAAAGGATACACATTTGTATATGACAGTTGTTATTTAGAAGGTGGGTAGATTGAAATTTAAAGACGGTAAAGTTTTGTGTCCACAATTTCGCCTGTATGTAAGATCAAGGTATTCCTTAAATTTGGTAGACAAAGTTATAATTTTGATAACTTTTTAAAAATTGATAACTTTAAAAAAAAGTAATTGATCTCTGGTATTTTAGTTACTTTCACATTAAGTCAGTGAATGTCAGTTTGCACACACAGCAGATAAAGCTTTTATTTTACACATAGCCACTCTGAGTTTGGTCCCTGGCACCACATATGATTCCCTGCGTTCTGCCAGAAGTGATCCCTAAGCACAGACCTAGTAGTGAGCTCTGAGTACAGCCATATATGGTCCAAAAGACATATCTATCTATATCTATCTATCTATCTATATGTGTGTGTGTGTGTGTATATATATATATATATATATATATATATATATATATAAAACGTGTGGGCTGGAGCGATAGCACAGCGGTAGGGCGTTTGCCTTGCACGCAGCCAATATGACTGAACCGAGTTCGATTCCTCCGCCCCTCTCAGAGAGCCCGGCAAGCTACCGAGAGTATCTCGCCCGCACGACAAAGCCTGGCAAGCTACCCGTGATGTACTCAGTATGCTAAACACAGTAACAACAAAGTCTCACGATGGATACATTACTGGGCCCGCTCGGGAGCACTGTGACTGTGATATAATGTGTGTGTACATTTATAAAAATAAAATTAGTATTCCTGATACTTTACAGAACAGAGACATGTATTCACACAAAAAGGAAAGATGTAGAAGAGAGGAGTATCGTTAGTGTTCCCAAGTGTTAAATGAGTGCTAGGAAGTTAGAGGTATTTCTGGTTTCCAAGTTTCTGGCATGGTAATTATCCTGTGACTATTAGCAATTTATTGGTCAGACTAAGTTAATCTCGGATAGCCAGAATAGATTGTGTCTGCGATTACTGGGATAGTGATAGTGATAGTGATACAGAGGATTTACTGATGCCAAAAAGGAAACCTGCCAGCAAGTTGGAAGATGACCTTTTTGGAAAAAAAATCCTCAGTTATTGAGGATAATTGACAATCATGAGAACTTCTATTTTGAAGGTTCATGTATTCTTGGGAGGTAGTAATCTAAAAGTATAGCATACCAATTGATCATGTGGATCATTGACTTAGGAAACTTGACTTCAGATCTCTATTCCTTCATTTATAAGCTCTGGGCAGGTTATTTAGGTTCTTTCTTTCTGTGCTTTTTCCCCTCGTCTGTAAAGGTGTTAATAATAGAGTTAAATTGTGAGAATTGATGCAAATAGAATTTTTAAAACAATTTGTTTTGAATAACAATATTAACAATATTCAGTCTCTTAGACGGGAATGTTGCCAGAAACATATTTAGACTCATTGAAAGCAGGAAGGAAGCAAATCCCCACAAGTAAATAGCACTTCCCCTGCCAATCTCCTAAATAGTTTTTTGAAACTAAAAACTGTGGGGACAGAGAGTTATACAGCAGGTAGGTGCTTGCCTTACATTAGGTGGACCTGGGTTCAATCTTTTTTGTTTGTTTTGGGGCCATGCCCAGGGCTCACTCCTGGCTCGACTCCAGAATCACTCCTGGTGGGACACGTACAACTATATGAGGTGTTGGTAATAGAAGCCGGGTCAGCCATGTGCAAGGCTAGTTCCGTACCTGCTGTGCTATCATTCTAGCCCAGACATGTGTTTTTATGCTATATTCCTTAAATAGTGATGAGTTGTGGAAGAATAACATAGTTAAGGAGTATAGAGTAAATGTAGTAAGCAAACTCTGGGCATCAGCAACACTTCTTATAATTCGTCTTGTCATTCTTTTGTATTTAGATATAAGATGTGTCTTTCCTCTAGGTATAAAGAGGGCATTTTACACATGAGGTTTTTATTGCCTGTCTCAGGGACAAAGAATGAAGGCTGGAGGAAGAGAACAGAATCACCTTTCTTCTGCAATTTCCTCAGATTTTTTAAAAATATTCAGTATGACAGGGTATACCATATTTTGGACTAGAATGTCTTGACCCTTATGGACATCTTCGTGACCATGGTTTATGAATAAGAAAGAAAATAATTGTGGCTTACAGATACTAGGTTCAACCATCAATTTATTGATATAAAAATGTCACAGTTAAGAATTCCTGTGGTACGTATTTTACTCAAGATAATACACTACTTACGTATACGTTGTTAGCAGACTAGTGAAAATAGGGCTTATTTGAGAACTATATATGATTTATTGCAACCATTGACTGTATTTTTCCTTCAGTTGTCAACTCTAGCATTATAAAGTCTTATAGATTCAGAGAGGGGTAGGGCTAGGCCTCAATTAGCAGTGCTAAGGAACATTTCTCTGGCAGTGCTGGGGTCCCTGTATGTGGTGCCAGGTTGACCATGGGGGTCAGCCATTGGCCTTTTGCAAGAGAAATTTCTTACCTGTTGTACTATATACCTTTGGCTCCCAAATTTCATAGATTAAAAAAAAATTTACATATTGAGTTCTCTGATACTTAAAGAGGAGAAACATTTTATAGAGGAAAATTGCATTTTAAAACAGTATTTCATCTCATTTAAATGTATTTGAGTAAGAAAAATTGGGAGTATTATCAAGAATGTTAAGAGCTGGAATCTGTTTTTGACTTTGAGGTTTGGGCTGGTTTCAGTTTTTCTGTACTGGTTAAATATTTTTTTCAGATTTTTCTGTAAGAAATTAATCAGGGTATATCTTTTTCTTTGTAGATGTGAAAAAACCCTAACTCGATTACATGTCACTTATGAAGGTACTATAGAAGGAAATGGTCAAGGCATGCTGCAGGTAGGTGAATCACTGTAGTGTTTGTTTGGGGGGGGATGTCAAGCTTCTGACAGCAAAGGAAATTTTAAATTTAAATTGTTTAAATTATCTTCTAAGCCGATTTAATGCAAAAAATAAAGGATGATAGCAGAATTGTGAATAACACCAAACAGATCATTTTGACAGACATAGTAATATTGTTATTTGTCATCGTGCACACTCAGTTTTTTACATGTTTCTTTTTAAGAAAACCTTTGACAGAAAACCCCAAGATAAGGTCAGTATCCAGCCTCTAGGTTCAGACATTGATTGTAGATTGACAGTGGAGGAAGTTCCCGGGGTATGGTTTTGACAAGCTGTCACCAGGCAAGTTTGTTGTTGTTCTTCTTTTTTTTTTAAAAAAAAAAAAGCCCTTTCTTTGCCCTAAATGATGACCAGCTTGAAATGTTATTTTGCCACCAACCTTGTTTAGGTCTAGGCGGCAGACATCTGATTGTTCAGGAAACCGTCTCTCCCCATAAGTAATTCTTTTAGGCACTTGATGAACTAGCTATGTTTGGTATCATTCCCATGTTTTAAAGCAGGTATTTATGATCATCTCTCAATCTTTGTTATTAATCTGTGTACTGTCTTAAAACTTTTTTAAAAAATTAATAAATATATGCAACAAACTTGTAATTAAAATATAAAAAGAGGCAGATTTTCCCTTGATAATAGGATAACTTAATATTTCTGTTTATTCTGTACTTAAAATGTTTCGAATTTGTATTTAATCAGTAACTTCCATTTAAAACAGTAATTGTGAAGTCCATTTAGAATTCATTTCAGGTATCACATTTCATCTACATTTCCTTCATGATGACATTCTTTCCTATAGTAAAGCTTGTATGATCTAAGAGAATCTTAATATACATTCAATAAACAAAATTACTGCTAGTTAGCACTGAAGGAATGGTGACCTTTTATTTCAATACAGTTCAATAAAGAATCATTTAGCAATAATCAAGATTGAGATTCTCTCCACTTCCAGAAATATAAATGAAATATAAGACCTTGGTAGATTAAAAGACCACCATAAAGGCTTCTAGCACTATTAATTGTTCTCCCTACCCCTGCCTCAAAATTCCTCATGTAACATGTAAATTGCATTATGCTGAATGGTAATAGAATAAAACCTCTTGAAAAAGTGTTTTCATTTCTTTGTCAACAAGTTATAATTTAGAAACTAAATAATCTGAACAAGTAGTTTCAAAGAAAAATGACTTGGAAAATAATGGCTTAGAAATAAAGAAGCACTCATCTTTGTTTTCATGTTCTGGCATAGGTTTCTCACCTGTAATAAATTGCTTTTAAGTTCAGGAACTTACAGGGGAAACTGGTTTTTCTAAACGAGCTCTTGCTTTCAGAGGTGTTTTGAGCTTCGGGTTATTTGTTTCTAGGCATACCTTTCAGGTAATAAATACTGGTCTCTTATTCAAAAACTGAATAATAGTATGCATGTGCGTGGTATTTTTTTAATATCAGGTTGTATATAAATTGGATGGGTTTTTTTTTCACTTTAAGTTATGTACCTTGTTCTAGTTAAAATTCATTTAGCTGGTCTCAGACCTTTGTTTCTCATTTTTATTCACAATAGTACTAAGCTATTCTCAGTTGCAAATTTTTCTTATATATGCATGGTGTTTTGGTGCAAAAACATGTTCAGGACTTACTCCTTGCTCTGTCCTCAGGGGATCATTTTTGCTGATTCCTGGGGAACTGTATATAGTGCCAGGAATCTAATGGGTTGGCAATGTACATGGCAAGTCCCTGGCCCCCTATAATCTCTCCCCATCTTCGGTATTCTCAGTTTTCAGGTATTGTCACTTGTTTGTTGATCTTTTCTTTTTGTTCTTTCTTTGTTCTTTTTTGAAACCCTGGTTATGTTTGCCAGCCAGTTTTTCTGATTTTGGAAATTTTATATGTCTGTTTATTTAAACTCTAACCTGAACTGTTTTCCTCAGCTTTTTGGTTTGTTTGTTTGTTTGTTTTCTTTTGGTGTTGGAAGGGTCTTTTCCAGAGGTGCTCAGAAAACCTGTGGTTCCTCCAGGGCCCAAGGACACATTGGTGCCTCCACGCCTGACAGTGTTCAGGGTCCATGTTGTGCCAGGATTGACGCAAGGTTGTTATTACCTTTCTTTTCAAAATCTCCCCCAAAACTCTCGGGATTAAGTAAAAATGTACTAGACTTTAGACACCTCATCATCATCTATAATCCTCCATATACACTGTTACAGACAGGAATGAGTAATCTTTTTACATTTGTTTTTACCTTTGCTTTTGTATAGCTATTTCCTCAACCTCAGGATGTCAACAGAATCTGTGTTAAATGCATGTCTTCTTATAAATAAGCATTTGTAATTTCCCAAGTGACAAGAACACTAGGAATTTTTTCCCCTCTCATATTTGATTTCTGACACAGCTGCTAAATTGTTGTAATTTCCAGAAGTATCATTTGAAGCTAATCAGAATCCATTATGATGGTAATCACAAAAACTAAGTTACTACTAGAAGTTTGAAATTTTCTACCCCATCCTCTGGGAAAGCGAGAAGGACTAAAGATTGAGTTAATGGTTAATTATGCCTACATGATGAACTTCTACAAATGTCCCTAAATTATAGAATTTAGAGAACTTCTAAGTTAGAGATATATGGAAATGCTGGAAAAGTGACTTGCTCTGATAGAGCAAGGAAGCTTTGTGTACTTCTCACAAACCTTGTTCATTTCATCTGACTATTCATCTGCATCCTTTATTCCATCCTTCATAGTTAACCAGTAAATTGTGGACTATTTCAGCAAATTATCAGATCCTAATGAATTAAAAATTAAAATGGGAACCCCAGTTCATAGCCAGTCAACTAGGGGAGAGTGGACTATTAAGGGCATTCAGGTAGGAAAGGAAGAAATCAAGCTCTCACTATTCGCAGATGATATGATACTATACTTAGAGAACCCTAAAACCTCTACCAAGTAACTCCTAGAAACAATAGACTTGTATAGTAAAGTTGCAGGCTATAAAATCAATACCCAAAACTCCATGACTTTCCTATACACAAATAGTGAGAGAGAAGAAAGTGGCATGAAAAAAACTATCCTGTTCACAATTGTGCCCCAGAAAATCAAGTACCTAGGAATCAGCTTAACTAAGTAAAGGACCTGTACAAAGAAAACTACAAAATGCTACTTCAGGAAATAAAAGAGGACACGAGAAAATGGAAAGATATTTTCTGTTCATGGGTTGGGAAAATTAACATTATCAAAATGGCAATACTTCCCAAAGCATTATACAAATTCAATGCGATCCCTATAATGAAACCCATGACGTTCTTCAAAGAAATGGAGCAAACACTCCTAAAATTCATATGGAACAATAAGCCCCCATGAATAGTTAAAGCAATTCTTGGGAAAAAGAAAATGGGAGGAATCAACCTCCCTAACTTCAAACTATACTACAAAGCAGTAATAATTAAAACAGCATGGTACAGAGCAGAGCAAAGGCAGAGCTGCAGACAAATGGAATAGAGTTGAATATACTGACATCTCCCCCGAAACATATGAACATCTAATCTTTGATACGGGAGCAAGAAATGTGAAGTGGAGCAAGGAAAGCCTCTTTAACAAATTGTACTGGCAAAACTGGATGGCTACATGCAAAAAAGTGGGCTCAGATCTCTGCCTAACACCATGTACAAAAGTAAGATCAAAATGGATTAAAGACCTCAACATCAGACTGGAATCCATAAGGACATTGTGACAAAGTTTGCAAAACCCTCCATGACATTAAAGCTAATGGTATCTTCAAAGAAGTCACGCCACTGGCCAAGCAAGTGAAAACAGAGATAGACAAATGGGACTACCTTGAGATAAGAAGCTTCTGCACCTCAAAAGAAACAGTGACCAAAATACAAAGACAGTCTACAGAGTGGGAAAGGATATTCCCCCAATACCCATCCGACAAGGTGCTGATATCAAGAATATACAAAGTACTGGTCGAACTCCACAAGAAGAAAACCCAACCCCATCAAAAAATGGGGCAATGAAATGAACAGAAACTTTCTCAAAGAAGAAATCCAAATGGCAAAAAGGCACATGAGAAAATGCTCTACATCATTAATCACCAGGGAGATGCAGATCAAAACTGCAATGAGATATCATTTCACACCACAGAGACTGGCCCACATACAAAAGAACAAAAGCAGCTGGTGTTGGCGCGGATGTGGCGACAAAGGGACCCTCCTTCACTGCTGGTGGGAATGCCGACTGGTTCAGCCCTTTTGGAAAACCGTATGGACAATTCTCAAAAAATTAGAAATTGAGCCCCCATTTGACCCAGCAATACCATTTCTGGGAATATATCCCATAGAGGAAAAAAGTACAGTCGAAGTGACATCTGCACTTGTTTGTTCATTGCAGCACTCTTTACAATAGCCAGAATTTGGGAAAAACCTGAGTGCCTGAGAACAAATGACTGGTTCAAGAAACTTTGGTACATCTGTACCATGGAGTACTATGTAGCTGTTAGAAAAGATGAAGTCATGAAATTTACATACAAGTGGTACTACATGGAAAGTATCATGCTAAGCGAAATGAGTCAGAAAGAAAGGGACAGATGTAGAAAGATTGCATTCATCTGGGGAACATAAACAAAATAGGGGACTAACATCCAAGAATAGCTGAGATAAATACCAGGAGGTTCACTCCATGGCTTGGAGATGGCTTGGAGGCTAGCCACACATGCTAGGGGGAAAGGCAGCTCAGATAGAGAAGGGAGCACCAAGTAAATGGTGTTGGGAGGATCCTTCCAGGATGGGAGATGCATGCTGAAAGTAGACTATAGACCAAACATGATTGCCACTCAATGCCTCTTTTGCAAATCACAATACCCAAAAGGAGAGAGAACAAAAGAGAATGCCCTGCCACAGAGGCAGGGTGGGATGGGAGATATGGAGGGTGGGAGGGATACTGGGATCACTGGTGGTAGAAAATGAGCACTGGTGGAGGGATGGGTACTCAATCATTGTATAATTGAAACCCAAGCACAAAAATTTTTAAGTCTACAACTGTACCTCATGGTGTTTCACTAATAAAAATTTAAAAATATATATCCTTTGTAATCATTGAATCACAAAATTAATAAAAGTCTAATTACACTGAGGCTTCTGCTTAACATATTATTTGAAGTGAGAGGAGGGCTTTGGTCCACACCCAGTGGTGCTCAGTTCTTATTCTTGGTTCTGCTCAGGACTCATTCCTCATGGTATTCAGAGGACCATATGCTTTGATCAGGGTTGAGCCCTGTCACTCCCATGCAAAGGAAAAACCCTCCCTGCTGGACTTTCTCTCCAGCACCATAAAAACTATTTTCTCTCTAAGGTTTTGGGATAGAAATTTATACACAGAGAGATACTCATTTCTATGAGATATATAGAGCGTGGTTTATCACAATCTGTTCTTTCCTGGTAAGATAAGTTCTAATCTGGAACATTGATTTATATGGAAAAGAGAGAAATATTAGCCTGCAAGTATTTGTGTCTGTCTGTCCATTTGTATATATGTTGGGCCATCATTTAACATGCTTCATTTTTTTCAAATAGGTGGATTTTGCAAACCGTTTTGTAGGAGGTGGTGTAACTGGTGCCGGACTAGTACAAGAAGAAATTCGCTTTCTAATCAATCCTGAATTGATTGTTTCCCGACTCTTCACTGAGGTTCTGGATCACAATGAATGTCTTATCATCACAGGTTAGTCTTGGAAAATCTGGCAAGTGGAGTATTTTTTTTAAAGTTGTAAATATATCCACCATAGATACGAGAGACTAAACAGATAGCTTTTCTCTACTGTGGACATTATTTACAGTATATTTAGTAATTTATATTTAGTTTTATTAGTTGTCATGTAGAATTACTTTTCTAATCTTGGGTAAGATATTTTATTTACACCATTTCCTTCTTGGCATTTTTATTCACGGAAAAGAGGGGAAAATACTCCTTTATGCTTGAAATTTTATTATATGATGCAATTTTTTCCAGGAATGCTCATTGTGACATTGTGATTTACAAAGTTGTTTCTAATAGAGATGTTTCAGACATACAGCATTCCATTACTAGATCCATGTCCAGTATTCCCTTCCCTCCACCAATATCTCTAGGTTTCCTCCCAGCCCCCAGCCTGACCCCTTGGCAGGCATATAACAAATTTATTTTATATTACTTGGTCCAAAGGCAAATATAATTATCAAAAATAAATCAACACACACACACACAAAAAATCAACGAAAGTCAGTGATGATGAATTGCTAAATGTTTTTAGCCTTTTTTAGTCTAGTAGAGTACAATCATATGCACTATTATTGAGTACCATACTCAGTGTCACATGATGGGAAGTTTTTATACTCCAATCCATACGACAGGCTTGGATGGTGGGATTGTTAACTAAAGGCTTTGGGAAGGTATTATAGTGGTGGGATTGATGTTGGAATACTGAATGTGGTAAATTACTGTGAACTACTTAATTAAAATAAAATAAAATCGGGAAAAAATAAAATAGACACCCTACCAAATGGGAGAAAATATTTTCATATCTCTATCTAAATAATCGATTAATATCCAAGATATAAAGCACTCACAAAATTCAGCAGCAGCTCAACAACCCCGTCAAAAAGAGGGGGAATAGGCAGGAGAGATATCTTGCTGGTAAGATAGTAATGAGTTCCTTAGTCTCCAAGGCACTATTTTTTTTCTTTATTCTTTATTCTTAAGACTAGATGATCTTAGATTTCCTGTTTTCCATTCATCCTCTGCCCTCTCAAATCTGTTATTTATAAATCAATTGGATGGCCCAGTGCCCCACACCTGGCAGTGCTCAGATTGGGGGAACATACGTGATGCCAGGGATCAAACTGGAATTGGCTCTCCAGACCTAATTTCTGCTTTTAAATACTTAGCAGTATCGGTTATTGTGCTTTTCAATTTCTGGATTTTCTAACCACCAGACAGGTCAAATGATGAATGTTCTCTGAGAATGTAGATGTTCATGTACGTATATACATATAGATATTCATGATAGTCCCTGTGAAGGTAACTTTGAAGGTAACTTCAATCTTCTTTGCCTCCTCAGGTGACTGGCTGTCAGCTGCTAGTTTTTACTATGAATAATTATAGACTGTTGGTGTTTAAGGCTACCATGCAGCTTAAAAATAAGACTCAACCAAATTTATTTTTTTAGTTGTTTATTTTTATTGAATCACCATGAGATACACAGTTACAAAACTGTTCATGATAGGGCTTCAGTCACTGTTCTAACACCCATTCCTCCACCAGTGCTCATTTCCCACCATCTCTGTCCCCAGTGTCCCTCGCACCACCCCACCCCCAGCCTGTCTCTATGGTAGTTTCTCTCTCTCTCTCTCTCTCTCTCTCTCTCCCCCTCTCCCTCTTTGTCTCTCTCCCTCTCTCCCCCACCTCTCTCTCTCTTTTTCTCTCCCCCTCCTCTCTCTCCCTCTCTCTCCCCCCCTCCTCTCTCTCTTTCCCTCTTTCACTCTCTCTCTTTCTCCCTCTTTTTCTCTCTCCATTATGGTTTGCAGTACAGATATGGAGACGTTATCATGTTTGTTTCTTACTCTACTTTCAGCACACATTTTTTATCCAGAGTGATCATTTTCAACTACTTTTTCATAGTGGTCCTTTGTTTATCCCAGCTGCCTTCTCTGCCAGCACTTGAAGCACACTTCCAACTTTGGACCAATCCTCCTGGCCCTTGTCCTTGGGTATTAGCTTCATATTATGTTTTTTTTATATCCCACAAATGACTGCGGTCATCCAAATTTTTTTTTAATAAATACTTCTTAGATTGCTTCAAGTCTTTGGTTAATTCGCACGGTTCAAAAAAAGTTGATCTTACAATTTTTGTCTGTGTTCTTATTGTTTTTATGGAAGAAATTTTTATCTCATCAGTTTTACTAATATACAGATATCATTTATAAATACTTTTTGGTCTACATGTAGATATTTCCTACTTTGGACAAACTGGCAGGTTACCGAATGTGATTCTGCTGCTTTGGTGAATAAGACAAAAAGTAAAAATTGTTAACTGTATTTGTATGGGAAATTAAATAGTAAGGGAATTTCTTTTTGGATAAAACCTCATCTGTTTGACGTAGCTACCTGAAATACACACCTGAAGTATTTCATCCAGAATTCAGCTCACATCTGTACTTGTTATGTATATAGAAAGGAAGAATGTAATTGGAAAGGTTTAGGGAAGAAATTTTTGGCTTGCTCTTCAAGTCCATGTCTCTCTTGAACACATTTCTTACTTGCTTATCTCTGTTCCTTTGCTTACCTGTTTCACTCTGAAAAGGCCTGTGTTCTCTTTTAAGCACGAGTAGGTACTTCTCTCTTTCTCTCCCCTTACATTGTTCTAAGTAAGTTTCGACAAAAACTATCTTGCTTCACGAAAAAATAATAATAAATTTTTTAACTGTTTAGCTGTAGTTTCCAACTGAAAACTCAGAGCAAAATTACTTCTCATTACTTCAAATTACAAATGTGTAAAGTACATTTACAAACTTGAAACAAAAATGTTGGTAGAATGCTGGACACTTCAAGACATTTTGGTCCTTTTCTCTTAATCTCTTGTCATCTAAGTACTAATGTTGCTGTAAATAAAAGGTGCAAGTTCTTGGGCATCACATAAGGGGGAAAAACTTATCTTTTAAAAAATATTTTTGATAGTTTTGAAGATAATTTGCTTCCAGTTTTAAAAAAGATCATCACTCTGGAGTTATGACTGTTCCAACTTACCTGCAGTCATTGTTAAATCAATGGGAAATTGCACATCCATGATTAACTTTCAGATTTTTAATTTTCTTAGGCTAAGGACATCCAGGGTGACTTTTAACTCAGCATTTTCCCCCACATCTATTTAACTTTATTATAGTGCCTCCTAATTAATATTTGTGATGTGATGTTCCCTTAATGGAAATGGCCATTTCATCATCTATTTGATGTTGGATTTCTGCCATTTCCCTTCTTAGGAGACTCTTAACCGTATACTGTAATCTGTCTGCCTGATCAATTCCATTCCTTCACTGATACATTCAGTCTTAGCTAATGGCTGTGACTGTGCTGCCTGAATCTGTAGAAGAGTTTGAGAAATTGGAAGTAAATTAAATTTATCATCAATGTGGAGCATCTGGTTGGTATCAGGCTTTTAAATGAATATGAAACAGGTCATGCATGCAATCAGGCAAATATTTATATCCACATAGTGTCATCCTGATATTTTCTGTGATCTGGACAGCTCTTCAGTTGAGTTTTAAGAAAAAAAAATCAGTAAATACACACACACACACACACGTGTGTGTGTGTGTGTGTGTGTGTGTGTAGAGAGAGAGAGAGAGAGTACTTCTTTTCCTGCCCACCCCCCCCCATTGGTCTATAACATCCAGCAAATTGCTACATTAATAAAGTATATCACTGGTTATAGAGAGTGTTTTTTTTGTTTGTTTCTTTAGTGAACAGATAAAGCAGAGGACTAGACCTGAAACCAATATTGGTTTTGTGGGCTTTTGTTTTGTTTTTCGGGGCAAGCCAAGGGTGTGGAGTGGTCACACCTGGCTGTGGTTGGAGGAACATGTATATCATGGTGCCAGGGATTGAACCAGAGTTGATTGAACGGAGGGAAAGGGGAGTGTGTAAACCCTGTACTGTCTCTGGCCTCATAGACTTGAAACTTAGGTAGAATGTTTGTACCTTTAACAAAGATGCCACTTAATGAATGAAATCATCCCAGGTGGTGGGCTTCAGTACCAAAACAATCCATCACTGAATAACAAAAGTTCTTAGGAAAGATCTTAATTTTTATTTATCAGAGAAGTGAAAATGTTCTGTGTGCTACAAAATTAGCATTTGAATTAGGCTGCAGGTAGATGGCTTTTATTTAAACCTTTTCCAAGGCCACAGTCTATTTGTGAATAGAGATTTTTTTTTCACTATAAAGAGAAAATATAATAGTTTTCAATACAAAATCTAAAAATTCACAAAACTGTAATGAACTCTTGATTTTAAAGAAATCCTTCTAGTATTTTATGTGAAAAATTATCTTTGAGCATGTGTTCTCACAGTCTATCTCTAGACACAGAAGGCATTCATTCAATCTTCCATCTCTTTTTTTCTGATAATACTATTTACCTTTTTACATCATAGTTAATAAATTTGAATTAAAAGCAAGTTAAGGGCACCCATTTCTGAGAACATAAGGTAAAGGTAAAAGGTAAAGGCCCTCCCGTTGATCGTCGATTTGCTCGAGCGGGCCCAGTAACGTCTCCATTGGAGACTTTGTTGTTACTGTGTCTGGCATATCCAATACTCTCGGTAGCTTGCCGGGCTCTCCGAGAGGGGTGGAGGAATCGAACTCGGGTCGGCCATGTTGGCCGCTTGTAAGGCGAACGCCCTACCCGCTGTGCTAAACTGAGAACATAAAATCAATATTTTTAACATAAATTTGAAAGACATCTACTTAGAAAGTCCAGATTTAATATGGTTAGAACAAAAGCATGTGTTTGTGCACTTTTTATTTCCCATATTTGAGGGAAATTTATTTAACATGGTTTCTCTTTGGAAAGAATGTAAAACCATCCTAACTTAGGATGAAATAGAAATAGAAATAGAAATGAAATAGAAATGAAATGAAATAGAAATATTACAATATTTTATAGTTTTAAAAATACAGGAGATGTTTTATAGTTAATAAATAAGAGTTAACAGTATTTTTCAGAAAATAAAAACCTATACAGTGCAGGACAGAAAATGGGAAAGAATTTTCTTGCTGTTTTTTTTGTTATTGTTTTGTTTTGTTTTTATTCCCAGTCATACTAGCAACTAGATTGTTTTATACCTCATATAAATAATTCTGCGTGATGTTGCAGATCTGAGGGGAATCGGGATTGCTAAAGTTACTATAATAATAGAAATGTTTTAACTTCAGATCCTACTGTTCAGATCCTAATGAATTGCTTTTACTATTCTAATATAGAATAAAATTTTTTTAATTAAAAAAACCATACAAATAGGATAATTTATCTCTGATTTATTTTCTTCCATACAGAATTAAGTTGGGTGACATTACTAGTAAGTGCTGCTTTACGATTTTAAAAGATTTTAAACTTATTTTATTTCCTAAGCAATTCTGTGAGTTAAAAAGGTAAAACTACTGAGAACTGAGCTTACAGTGAATGGATGTGGGAGTATGTTAAGGAAGGCAGGAACCCTGGTAGAGGGTGTGGTGGTAGAACTCTGTATACATAAAACACTATCATTTAACAATTGTTGTAAACCATAATGCCTAAAATTAAAATAACTAAATTTAAAAATTGTAATTTCAACTAGATTTTTTTTGGGGGGGGGCTGTTACTGTGGGAGTTTATTTATTTTTTTTTTATTAGTGAAACACCATGAGGTACAGTTGTAGATTTGCAATTTTTTGTGCTTGGGTTTCAATTATACAATGATCAGATACCCATCCATCCACCAGTGCCCATTTTCCACCTGGTGGATAATATCCCTCCCACCCCCATCTCCCGTCCCCCCCTGCCTCTGTGGCAGGGCAATCCCCTGTGTTCTCTCTCTCCTTTTGGGTGTTGTGGTCTGCAAAAGAGGCATTGAGTGGCAAACATGTTCAGTCCACAGTCTACTTTCGACATGCATCTCCCCTCCTGGGAGGATCCTCCAAACACCCTTAATTTGGTGCTCCCTTCTCTATCTGAGCTTCCCTTTCCCCTAGAATGCCCGGCTGGCCACTAAGCTATGGAATAATGCTCCTGGTGTTGATCTCAGCTATTCTTGGGTATTAATCTCATATTTTGTTACTTTTTGTCCCCCAGATGAATGCAATCTTTCTATGTCTGTCCCTCTCTTTCTGACTCATTTCGCTTAGCATGATACTTTCCATGTTGTACCACTTGTATGTAAATGTCATGACTTCATCTTTTCTAACAGCTACATAGTACTCCATTGTGTAGATGTACCAAAGTTTCTTTAACCAGTCATCTGTTCTTGGGCATTCAGGTTTCTTCCATCAACTAGATTTTTTAACCGGTGTGGGGTGAGGGGCGCAGTATGGAGAGATAGTACAGCAAGTAGGATGCTCTCCTTGTGTGCGACCACCTGGATTCAGTCCTTGGCACCCCTTTTATTCCCCTGATCTCCACCAGGAGTGATCCCTTAGTATGGAGCCAGCCTAAGCACTACCAGGTGTGGCCCCAAAACAAACAAAAAGGTAATACTTATTAAAATGAAATCCAGGGACATTTGATTACTAAAGGATTCTCTTTGGTTTCATTGTAAATTCTGATCCAAGTATGTTGCTACTATCATGCTACTCTCTTTGTAAATTTGAAAATTTTGTTTTGTTTTTGGTCTACGTACCAGTGCTCAGGGCTTATTCTTGGCTCTGTGCTCAGGGATCATTCCTGGTAGGCATGGGGGGCCATTTGTTGTGGGGATTCAAGTGCCCTGCCCACTATACAATAGGCAAATTTGAAATTTTTCTGTTTTCAATGTATTCCTGGTGTGTTACTCAGTGATCCTAGTGGTAGTTTGGTGACCGTGAAATGCTCGGAATCTAACCCTAGCCCTCCACTTGCAAAATACGTGCCCTAGCCCTTTATGCTGTTGAACCAGTCATATTTTTTCCCTTTATAGTAAATAATAATACTTCATTAATACTAGTGGTTTTTACTTTTGATACTTACAAATGAGGTTGAGGTATATCAAGAAAGATTTTTTTTTACTTTTTTTGTTTTGTTTTTTGTTTCTGGGTCACACTGGGTTGTGCTCAGGTCTTACTCCTGGCTCTGTGCTCATGGATTGATCATTCCTTGTGGAGTTCAGGGGACCAAATGGGATGTAGGAGATTGAACCTGGGTCGACTATGTGCAAGGCAAAAACCCTACCCACTGTACTATCTCTCTGACCCTAGGGAAGACCCTTTTGAAGGTACTTTTTATGGAAAGTCTCTCTGGGACCCTAGTGACAGTACAGTGGGTATGGCTCTTGCCTTGCATGCAGATGACGAGTTCTTGATCAACAGCACTCCATATGGTCCCCTGAGCACTGCCAGGAGTAAGTAATCCCTGAACATTGCCGGGTGTGGCCCAAAAAACAAAAAAAAAGTAAAAAAGAAAAGTCTTCTGAAAAATTATAGTGGCAAAATCATTTATTTCAGGTACTGAACAGTACAGTGAATACACAGGCTATGCTGAAACTTATCGTTGGGCTCGGAGTCATGAAGATGGGAGTGAAAAGTGAGTTTGATTCTTCATCTAGTATTGCATGGCCAAGGAATATGGGATAAGGAATACGGACTTGATCCTTGTACATTTTTCTCTTCCCTCTTATTTCAGCAACTTTCATTTTAAATTCAATGTTATAATTTTGTTAGTGGTTAAAACAACATTATTTAACTCCATATTCCAAAGGGAAGAACAGAAATCAAAAGTCTAGGGGCTGGAGAGATAGCACAGCGGGTAGGGCGTTTGCCTTGCATGCGGCCGACCCAGGTTCGATTCCCAGCATCCCAAATGGTCCCCCGAGCACCGCCAGGGGTAATTCCTGAGTGCAGAGCCAGGAGTAACCCCTGTGCATCGCCGGGTGTGACACCAAAAAAAAAAGTCTAAACTAAGAACATGAAATCTAAATTTTACAAAAATTTATGATAAAATTATAATTTTATGCAATTATATAATTAAATTTTCTGTGATAAAATTATATAAAAATAAAAAATCCAAGAACAAAATGGACAGAACTTTTAAGTATTTTAGTTTTCAGCTGCCAGTAGTACCCCGTAATTGGAGGTTAACTTCCCAATCCAACCTTAGGATGAATCTAATTGTAGCAAATAGCCTTTAACCAGCTTGTTTACTTATCTTTAACCTTTATGTAAGATTAGTTAGATAAAAGAACATATATTGGGATTGTTTGCTTGATGGATGCCAAAAAACAGTTGATAGCAGAACCTATAGAGAATTTTGTTGCAGTGACCGTTTCTATTTCTTATTGAATTACATTTTTCAATACATACATATATGCATTGAAAGCTCTGTGTGTGTGTGTGTGTGTGTGTGTGTGTGTGACTTTTAATCAAAATAGAACTTTCATGGCCAAAAGAATCTGCCCTTGTCAATGTAGCCATACCCATACAAGCATCCTTTTGTGATTTGGTTTTTTGAGTCATACCCAACAGTACGTGTGGATACTTCCTAGAATGATGCTTCAGGGGTTGCTCTCTTTGGTGCTTGGGGGGGTCATCCAGGGTTCCTCATGCAAAGTATACACTTCTGCCCTCCTCCCTTTCACCCTGGCCTGTAAACTTACACTTCTTAATATCTTAAGTCCTGCCCCTCTCTATTTTGTTTTGGTTAAAATATGTGGTTGTACCAATATATCTGTCTGGATGTTGATGTTTAATTCTTCATTATATATAGACTACAAAAATAAGGTTTTTTGTCTTTTATGTGAAAAGTGTCATAGTTACCCATATACCAAAGTTTATAAAGAGATTAAATATTTGGAATTCCATTTTTTCAAAATTATTTGTTCCTTTCTGTTTCCATAGGCAATTCATTATTTGCTGTGATATCTTTGCTAGTTTTATTTTTGTAATAGTTTGCATAATTGGCAATTGAGTTAAGTAGGTAGAATATTGTACTGAGTCATATACATTTTCGCATTTTATGTTATACATTACATACAGATATGTATGTATCTGTATGAGCGATAGCATAGCGGGTAGGGTGTTTGCCTTGCATGCTGCCGACCTGCGTTTGATTCCTCCGCCCCTCTCCGTGAGCCTCGCAAGCTACCGAGAGTATTCCGCCCACACGGCAAAGCCTGGCAAGCTCCCTGTGATATATTAAATTTGCCAAAAACAGTAAGAACAAGTCTCACAATGGAGACGTTACTTGTGCCTGCTTGAGAAAATCGATGAACAACGAGAGTACAGTGCTACAGTGCATACAGATACATGCATTATATACTTTTGTCATAATATTTTTTAGATTATTTAGTATGTAGTATATGTTGATATTAGAATTACAGTGATTAGAGTAGGTCTTTCAAAATAAAAAAGGAGTGAGTTCTTATAAAATAAGAAATGCCTTGTCTTTAGTATTAGAGGAAAACAGAGAGCTAAGTACCCTTGTTTTCCCCAATATATTTAACTTCTGTGTTCCACTGAAAACAATGCACCTATTCTAGTACATCAGTCCATCATATTGGTTGTCTCTTGACAATTTATCTTGTAATGCCTGACAGTCCACCATGTGTAAGCCTTAGAATCTAAAAATAAAAGTTTCTCTGAATTCCGGAGATGAAATAGTCTCTGGTTTGTTAAGTTTGTTGTTTTTTTCTTTAAACTGTTTTGTTTTGTTCTGTTTTGAAGCCTGGCAATGCTCAGGGTTACTACTGGCTTTGTACTCAGGAATTAACTGCTGGCAGTGCTCAGGGGACCATATGGGAATCCAGGAATCGAACCCAGGTTGTCCACAAACAAGACAAGCACCCAGCCCACTATACTATCACTCTGGTCCTAGTTGTTAATATTTTAACCCTGCCAAAAGTCTTAGAAACATTAACCTATAAGGGGGTTCATTTTGTGAACAGGTTTCATCTCATCTCATCTTTCCCCTCTTGTGTCCTACCCCAGGGATGACTGGCAGCGTCGTGGCACAGAAATAGTCGCTATTGATGCCCTTCACTTCAGACGTTACCTCGACCAGTTTGTGCCAGAGAAAATCAGACGTGAACTTAACAAGGCCAGTAACCTTATTTCTTCATTCATCTGGCAACTGTCATCTGTTTACTGCCATTTTATTAATGCTGAAATTAATGCTTTCTGGTAATTCTTGCAGTGTCAGTATGTCTGCCCCCGGCTCTCCTGATTTAATGGCTCTGTCAGCTTGTACAAGATGTACTTTCCATTTCGTAATTGTTTGATTACTGATGCCAGATAGACTGTTGCTTGATATTAGCCCTACACATGCATTTATCTCATCAAATACTTTTAGCTCCTTTGGAACATTATCACTGTAAAACCATTTAGAAATGAATGAGTCCTAAAATTTTTTTCTGACCTTCCCATGATACTTTTCTCTACCAGGTATATTATCAGGATCGAAACAGATAAACCATTAGAATCAAGCTTATATTATGTTATTGATACATTTATATGTAAATTTTTGTTGGTATTTGGGTGTACAACTATAGAATCTTGATATTCTCTAGTGCCTAGTAGTATCTATTATCATTTCCTTTTTATTATTTTCAGAAATATAAAATGAGCCATAATTATTGTTAGTACAAATTTTCACTGTAACCATAATAAACTATCATACAAGTATTATATGATACTTGTATGATAAATCTGTATTTTAAATCTGTACTCTAGATTTAAAATCTGAGATTTTCTTTAATTCTTCAAATTACTCTCACAGCCAAGAAGACTGAATTCTTAAACCTTTTTTTTTTAACTCATGAATAGCATTTAGCTATATGATTATTTATTTGTACTTGTCTGTGATAACATACAGTCTGTCCCTGCACAGACTTTTGATAACAGCAGACTGTTTATTACAAGGAGATTGGGGATATCCTCAGATTAGCATGTCTGGCATTTCCTATATCAATTTTCTCTTTTTCCTAGGTCTTAAGGCAGTGGTTCACATATAGTGCTCTTAATGTCTTAGATCTTGTTTTTCCATAGTGTTAGTAAAATAAACACCAAATAATTCAGAAATATTTTTACTGCACTTAAACTCAGTAGCTATTTTTAGTATAATTACATATAGTATCTTTGGAGGAAGGGAATTCCATAATACCCAGCTGGGTGCAGGGGTCATCAAACTGGGGTTAGCTGCATTCAAGGCAAGCACCTTAACCCCTGTACTCTCTGCTCAGGAATCATTCCTTGCCAAACTCGGGGACCATCTGTGGTGCTGGGACTTAATCCCTATTGGATGCATACAGGGCAGAAACCCTACCCTCTACAATATCTCTCTGCATCCTAAGTTTGTTTTTTGTTTTTCTTAAAATAGTTTCTTAGAAAAACTACCTTGGAAGATAGTTCTTTGTTTTGTCTATACCAAAAGAATAGCTTTTTTTAAAAAAATTTTTTTTAAAAAACGAGATACACAGTTCTAAAATTGTACATGATTGGGTTTCGGTCATACAGTGTTCCAGTACCCATCCTTTCACCCTGTACCACTGTTTCTCTCTCTGTCTCCCTCGCTGTCCCCCCAAACCCACCCTTCCCCTGATCCTTGTGTGTGTTTGCGTCCCGACCCTTTTGGGCATTATGATTTAGAGTACAGGTACTGAAGGTTATAATGTTGGTCTCTTTACCTAATTTCAGCACTCGCTCTTGAGTGCTGATTTCAAACTATCAGTGTCATGGTGGTCCCTTCTTTCTCCTAACTTCCCTCCCCCATCAATTGTGGCAAGCTTCCAACACATGGACCAGTCCTCCTACTTCTTGTTTCTGCTCTCCTTGGGTTTGTGGGGTATTTGAAAACATAAGAGCTTTTATTTTGCACTAGGTACTTCCACTGTACCAAACTTATTTTAAAAAGATTGTCTCCAGGCCAGAGAAATAGTACAGCAGGTAAGGCACATGCCTTGCACACGGCCTGGCATTTCAATCCCTGGCATTCCATATGGTCCCCTGACCCTGCCAGAAGTTATCGCTGAGTGCAGAGCGAGAAGTAAGTCCTGAGAAATGCTGGCCCCAAAACAAAAACTCAACAAAAATTTAAAAAATAAAAAGAATGTCTCTAAGCACATGACATTTTTATTATATTGCAAATCAAGTATATTAGAAGATATATGTATAGATTATCCTTATATTCTTTATTAAACATTTATGTTAATTTGGTAACTGATACTAGAAGACATATATATGATACTAGAATTACCTACAAGCAGTAAATGTTTTTTTTTAAATATTATCGATAATTAAAAAATAAATTCAAATAGGGGCCAGGGAGAAAGTACAGCAGGTAGGGCTTTTGACTTGCATATGGCCAACCTGGGTTGGTCCCTGGCATCCCATTACTTCTGAGCATTGCTAGAAGTAATTCCTGAATACAGAACCGAACCAGGATTAGTAACCCCTGAGTATCACCAGGTATGGCCCAAAAAGAACAAAAACAGAAACTCAAATAATTTAGCCATTTTAAAGTAAAGCATTCCATCATTTATTAATTATATTTAACTCTTTGTCTTCTCCCATTTGTTGTTTTGAGGAGGATAACAACAGAGAAAGTAAGGAGCTAACTTAGTTGGTGTGTACTTTAGTTGTGTTTTTGTTGGTTGTGGTGTCCTGAATATCACAGTTTGTTGTGGACCTATGGATCCCAAATGGCTGTGCTGCCAGCATCACCTTCAGTATGTGGAGCAGTACTGGGTACTGAGCTTAAGGCCTCACGCTTATAAACAGATGTTCAACCACTAAGTTATTCCCAGGCCTCTTAGGTTTTCCTATTAGAGTTATGAATTTAATTACAGTCAGTAGGGAATTTTACCTACCCACATCTTGGTGACTATGTTAAATGTGGTTTTGGTTTTTTGGTTTTTTTATTTTTGTTTTTGTTTTGTTTTGTTTTTGGGACTCATTGGGCTGGAGCGATAGCACAGCAATAGGGCGTTTGCCTTGCATGCAGCCAACATGGCCGACCCGAGTTCGATTCCTCCGCCCCTCTAGGAGAGCCCGGCAAGCTACCGAGAGTATCTCGCCCGCACGGCAGAGCCTGGCAAGTTACCTGTGATGTATTTGATATGCCAAACACAGTAACAACAAAGTCTCCAATGGAGACGGTACTGGGCCCTTTCGAGCAAATCGATCAACAATGGGAGGACAGTGACAGTGTGTTTGGTAAACTTAGGTTTAAAGTGGAAGTCTATATTAAATTACTTTGGAGATGATTTACGTTTGTGTGTGTGAGTATGTGTGTGTGTGAGAGAGAGAGAGAGAGAGATAGAGAGAGAGAGGAGGAAAGGACGGAGGGAGGGAGGAATATTTCATTGTTTTAAATAAAACAGCAAAGCATAAGGCTACTTTTCACCATCAGAATTCAGTGCAGGTATCTGAACTCAATGGGCCTGTTTGCTACCTTTAGGTATTATGTACCAGATAATAATTGGAAAGGCAGGGGGCCGGAGCAATATAAACAGCAACTAGTTTGATTATCTTCCACACTGTCCACCAGGGCCTCATCTTAGCACCTCTTATGGACTCCCAGCCTGCCTGAAGTGATCCCTCAGCACAGCCAGGAGTAAGCCCTGAGCATAACCAGTGTAGACCAAAAATCAAATGATAATAATAATAGTGCCTAATTGTAGGATAACATTGGTTTGTTCTTTCTGCCTTGCCACAGGGAGCTTAGATTTATTGGGTTATACCCATCACAGTGGTCCTGAGGCGCTGCAATTCCTCTGTGTTTATCTGTAACCTCTTTCTTTGTGTTCTGCTTCCCCAACTGGTCGGTCACCTTTATCTCCTAATCAGACTCTGTTACCTTGTAAATATTGTTTTTCTCTCCTCCGTCCTTTGCATAGTTACTTCAGAGCAATGTCCTTTTTGTATAGACACAGGAAGACAGTTAATGCTGTGCTTTTGTAACTTGGGAGTTAATTGACTCCGAATCATATTCACAACAGGGCATCTATTTTCTTAGCTTAAGCTTCAGTTGCCCTTACTTCCTAGTACCCCAGAAACAAAGTCCTGATGAGGGACTGGATGGACCCAGGGCAAGCTGTGAGCCTCCCTAGCATCAAAATGGGCCATGCCAAAGCACCATAATACTTAACTATAAGAGCGTGGTCATGGACAAATTCTGTCATGATCCAAAAATTAACAACTGGATTAGAACCCTGCTGGGGTTAGGAAAGACTAATCTGGCCTGAGCACTGTAGTCTTAGGGACGTCTATAGCGAGATGCCCCCATGAGAGCCACTACATGCTTAATGTATCTCTTATTTTGTCCATACAAATTGACTAATATTATTATGGAGTAGAATTAAGATGAATGTTTAAATAGCTATTTGACTAAGGAAAGCAGAAACACACCCTAGGTGGTATTTCTGCCCTTGAGTGGATCTCCTGACTGCAGGAGATCAGGAAGGGCTTTTATACGTTGATTGTGCTACCAGACCTGGGTGTGATTGCTACCTACAAGGTTTGGAGGGTGTGAAAGACTAGAGACCAGGACTAGAGAGACCAGGATTAGAGAGACCAGGATTAGAGTTGGGGCACAGAGAGACTAGCAAGGGGGACAGAAGGAGAAAAATATAGAGGAGAAGAATGTAGAGGAAAAGAATGTAGGTAGGTGTAGGATCCAGGGGAGAGGAATCAAGAAGAAACAGGGAATCTGGGAGAATCAAGGGGAATCCAGGAGAAGGAAAAGAGATTCGGGGAAGGAGAGTCAGGAGAATAGAGACAAGATTGGAATAAATGCAGTTGATACCAACTAGCCTCACCCTTGTTTTCTCCTTCGTCCGCCCATGGTGTTGGCCATCCCAGTGGGGGAAGCAACCCAAGACCACTGAACGCAGGCGGCAAGAGAGAGCTGCTGGCTTCTTACTCATTTTATGAATACACACCTAATTATAGTAATCATAAAGACAATCCTACATAGCACTTTGTTAGTTCTGGTAACAGTTCCGTTCTTCCCAACTCTGACTTTTCTACAGGATTCACATTGTGACTTGCACCGAGGGTTGATTATTAAAAGGAAGTGATCAGATTCCTGTTTGACTGGAGGTTTTTTGGTTGTTGTGTTCTGTTCTGTTTTGTTTTGTTTTTGGTGGCGGGTGCGGCTTGATGGTCAATACCCAGCAGTGCTCAGGAGCTACTCCTGGCTCTCTTTTTAGGGTTGTACTTGGCAGTGCTCAGGGGATATATGCAATACCAGTATCAGAAGTGAACCAGGATCGGCTGTATGAGGCTTAACCCTTGTGTTATCTCTCTGCCCTGGAATCAGACTCCTTATTTCCATACTGTGTAGCAACAGTCCTGTGAGAGGAGTATTTTCTAGTGGATAACTTTCTAGAGAATTACCTTTTAAGTGTAAGGACTTATGGCTCCCACTTGGCAAAAGGGGCAAATAGTTCTGTAAGGGAAGAAAGAAATCATCTGTGACAGGTTGCATTTAACCATATTAGACTCATTCAGGTAAGATAAGTAACAGGTATATTTTATGAAACTTCTGGGTCAGAAATGTAATTAAGAGACCACCCCAACAAGAAACCACCATTTTATCATTTTTTAAATGTATCAGTTGGAGGGGCCAGAGTGGTAGTAGAACAGGTCGGGTGCCTGCCTTTCACACAGCAGACCCAGGTTCAATCCCTGGCATCTCATATGGTCCCCTGAGCTTGCCAGGAATAAGCCCTGAGCACTACTGGGTATTACCCAAAAATAAACAGAACAAAAAATGTATTGATTGGGGCCAGAGAAATTGTACAGTATGTAGGCCTTTTGCCTTGCTATGGCAAGGTCAGTCATATGTGACTGATCCCAGATAGTTCCCCATCACTCCAGGGATGCCAGGAGTGATCCCTCAGCTCAGAGCCTAGGATAAACCCTAAACAAAGCTGGGTGTGGCCCAAAATTTTCAAAAAAGGTCGGTCGGTAGGTAGGTAGGTAGGTAGGTAGGTAGGTAGATTGATTGTTGTTCCCCATCTTTGGATTTGAAAGGACATGATTAACAGTGCTGCTAATTCTAAATTCAACATCTGATAATTTATAATCTTTTCCTAAAAGTGTATAAGGAATATTAGTTCAAAATGTGTCATTTTTAGTGAATTTTCCCATAAGACTCTAAATACAGAGAGCCAGAATGACTATAGAGATACTTATCCAGTCTTTTATTTCACACTTGAGAAAAGTAAGGTATGTAATCTCAAAGGTTCAGTTTCACTGCCACTCAAGGAACCATGTGATGTTGGTCAAGAACCATGTGACGGTTGCAGAAAAAGCTTTACTGGCAACAAGCCAGCAGAAGGCTGACAGATTCATGTCTCAGACTAACCATTTTGTTTGTACAGTCACAGGAAGGGGTTTTTATAGAGAAATAGAGCAGAGAGACACCATTTTAGAAAGGGTGGAATGCAGTGAGTGCCAGGGATCAAAGGAGTCCTCATCCATACAAGTCAGGGACTCTTCCACTAAGTCACTTCTTCAAACCCCATGGAATGAGAGGGAGAGAGGGGAAGGGGGGGGGGGCATACTTTTGTACCAGGGATGTATCACTGTTTCTCACAAACAGGAGGCAATCAGTTTACCACAGGGGGCGGAGAATGGAGGGGGAGGCTTTTGTACCAGGGATTAATCACTGGGTCTCACAAACAGGAGGCAGTCACTTTACCACCAGGCCACATCCCCAGCCCCAGAAATGCCTAGTTTGTTTTGTTTTGTTTTGTTTTAAAATCTGTATTTTATTTATTTTTAGGCACTGTGATTTGCAAAACTCTTAATGGTTAAGTTTCATGCATAAAAAAATTCAGCATCTTATACCCCCACCCCTTCCAGGGTCAGCGTCCTACTGAAGATCCCTTCTCAGTTTCTGTTGCCTTTGGGCATTTGTTATGTCCCTACTGTTTCTTTACAAAATGCTTAGTTTTAATGAAACATTTAATAGAAAAGTGTGTTGGACAGGGGAGATAGCTCAAAGGGCTGGAGCACGTTTTGCATGATTGAGCCATATGTTCAGTCTCCATCATCACATAGCCCCCCAGTACCACTGGTTCAGACCCTGAACACTTAACCAGGAGTAGCACCCCCTCTACCCCAACCTTCTTTCCTAGCACTGCTGGTTTGGCTCCAAACCGAGAAGCTCATATTTAATCAGTATAATGTATTATTCTTTATACCTTATTATTATGTAACTATTTCTGTATAATTTGATTTCTATCTGATTAACTTTTACAATTTTATTTGATTGGTGCAAGCATGAAATTAACTGACATTTTCATTTTGCAGTTTTTATTATAATCACTTTTTCAGGATAGTTTTTTAAAATTTGTTTACATTTATTAATTCTAGGGCACGTCTAGTGATGCTCAGTGACTGCTCAGTGCTTGGGGATCACAGATATGGGGTGCTTGGGAAACCATGCAGTGCTGGAGATCAAACCCAGGTTTCCTGCATGCAGACATGTGCTTCATCCTATTAAACTATCTCCAGCTTTGGGTAGATGTTTTAGTTAATACTTTACATTGAGTGTTCCTTATAATTATCTGTTTCATGTTTTCTGTTATTAGACTTTAAGTTGCTGTAAACTGATTTTTGCTAATTAAAGAAAAATTAGTCCAAGTATGTGAGACAGCAGTGAGGAAAAACTGAAAACCATTTGGCAGCTTTTATAAAATAGACAAAATAGAAAAATAGAAAATCTTTCTCTTTAGTTACGTTAGGAGAATTTGACAGAAACTAAGTGGCCAAGTTACGTTCTGTTTATTTTGATAGAATTGGATCCTTCCCTTTGTTGACATAAAGGCAGAGTTTTTAAGCACCACCTCAAAAATAGTAAGCTCTTTGGTATTTTTGACCTGAAAGATTTTCTGAAGGTCCATACATCTGATTACATAGGTAATTTGTGAGTTCTAGTGTAAGCTCTGTACCAGTCTTGAATAATGGTCAGATACCAACGTACAATTAATATCTGTCAGATTTTACAGCCTAAGAGGGGGTGGAAGGAATAGTCTTGTTAATCCATCCAGGCAGTGTGTAAAATGCATTTTTATACCTTTGTGGAACCTCAGAGAGCAATTTACTGTATTTCTATGTGTGGGTTTTATAGAAGCATCTTTCTTTATTCTTGGTTCTTCTCTGGGAACATTTGTCACAGATCATTCTTTTTAATTTATTTACTACTATACATAAGCTATATTTTAGACTTTGTTTAGTGCTTTAGAGAACCCAGAGGAGATTTGCTTTTCTATTATATTGAACCTCTTAATATAGTTTGATTGTTTCAGAAAACTAAGAACCCTTAGGGGACACAAAGACCAACTAAGCTGACGGCAAAGAAATAGAAACCAAAAATTCTGGAATCTTAAACTGCAGCCTCCTCATATACAAAATGAGCTACTTATCTGTATCACACAATGCTCAGGTGACTGGCTATTTTGTTTTAATTCTAGCTTAAAGCAGAACTTTGGAATTAGTCATATTAGAGCTGGAAAGGATCTTAAAACTTATTTCATAAACAGCTGTAGAAGTCTTTTTGGGGGGAAAGTGGGGAGTAGGGAACGTGGTGGTAGGTGCTGCTCAAAGGTTACTTTAGGCTCTCTGCACCCAGGAATTACTCCTGGCATAGTAATACAGGGAACTGTGTGGGATGCCAGGGGTTGAACCCAGGTAGATTCTGTGCAAAGCAAGTGCCCTACCTGTTGTACCGTCGCTCTAGCTCAAGAATACTCTTTTTTTTCTTTTCACTAATATGTATTTGCTTAGCTCCTGTGTTTAGCTCATTGCTTGGCTCTTTAGTAGCACAATAAAAGCTAATCATAGTTATTCTAGCCCAGTAGTTCACAAAGAGAGTGCTGAGGTAGCTTAATAGTAATAGCTGTATCTTAATGAAAGTAATGGTGATCAAGTCTTTAAAAAAAAAACAATTATCTTAAGTACCTTTTCAACCTTTAGGTCATAGTTTGTAATTGGGTTTTCCTTGGTTCTTTTTTTTTGTTTTTTGACTCACATCCGGCAATACACAGGGGTTGCTCTTGGTTTTGCACTCAGTAATTACTCCTGGCGTTGCTTGGAGGACCACTTGGGATGCTGGAAATCGAACCCGGGTCGACCATGTGCAAGGCAAACGCCCTACTCACTATACTATTGTTCCAGCCCCCTCCTCTTGGTTCTTGATGTAACTAATCTTTGCTTACATTGGCTTCATCAGGAAAAGATTTGAAATTGTATTGACGTAAGGGATTTTGTTATCCAGCATCAAAACAAGTAAATATTTGAAATCATCACTTCTTTCTTCTATGTGTTATCCCAGAATTTTCTATTCTTACCTCTACTTTAGTTCCAAAGAAAAAAAGATGAGAGATAACATAAGCTTAATAATGGATACTGTTCCTCAAACAGCAGTTAGAAATACTGTTAGTGTCTAGTCATTCATATGTTTTGCTCTTTCTTTTATCCTCTAGGCTTACTGTGGATTTCTTCGTCCTGGAGTTTCTTCAGAGAATCTTTCTGCAGTGGCCACAGGAAATTGGGGGTGTGGTGCCTTTGGGGGTGATGCAAGATTAAAAGGTGAGTGAGGGCTGGGACTGTGACTTAATGGTAGAGCACTTCCCTGGCTCCATATAGTCCCCTGAGCACAACCAGGCCCAGGTGTCTTTGGGTATAGCCCACAAACCAAAAAAAAATTTAAGGGGCTGGAGCAAGAATATAGCAAGTAGGATGCTTGCCTTGCACAGAGCCAACCCAGGTTCGATCCCTGGCATCCCATATGGTGCCCCAAGCACCACCAGGAGTAATTCCTGAGTGCAGAGCCAAGAGTAACTCCTGAGTATCAATGGGTGTGACCCACAGGGAAAATAAAAACAGTGAAAAATGAATGACTATGTTTTGAGGACGGTAGTGGGACTGAAGGGGTAAGGTGTTTACTTTGCACATTGGCTGTCCTTACTTTGACCCCTGGCACTGGGCTACATTTCCCTAACCACCACCAGGAATGATTTCCTGAGCATAGAAGCAGAGTAAGCTCTGTACATAGCCAGGTGTGACCCAAATCTTACACCCCCACAAAAAAAGGATAGTCTTCTTGCTGTGGAGGAACGTTAGTCCTTCAGCCAGATTTCCCAAGTGGTGGGGCGGGGGGAGAATATTTGATACCATCCTTTATTCTGGATTTAAAGAAACTCTTACTTTTATTTACTGGTTCCCTGAATAGTTTATCTCTTTAATACCTAAACACAATTGAATTTAGTGTATGACGTTTTAACTGAGAACACTGACTTTAGCACTTCCCTTCACAGATGTGATTTTTATGGACAGTGCTATTTTTCATTGACTGACTCATCCATTCCCCCATTCTTATGTCACATCTGCCATGCTCTAGGCACTATGGTCTGCTCTGAAGTAAATAAGATGTGGTTCCTGTTCTGAAATACTCAGTCCAGCATGAAGAAAAAAACGAAGGCAATTCAGAGTGATGAATGTTTTAGTTAAGGCACATGGTATAGCGGAGTAGAACTTGGGAGAGGTCAATAATTAGCACAAATAGGAAGGCACGTGGGTTTCTAAGAAAGATAGAGACCTTTTGCATTTTATTATTTGTAGTAGAAAAATCATAGGCCTGATCAACAAAGTTATCGAATACTTACCAGATTATATTTACTTTATTCTCAACCATAAAGTACTATATGTGAATAGAATATTATATGATAACTTGGGATGTTTATTTTTCTGTGTCAACCCAACTTGTCTGACACCAACTGAATGTGTTAGACTATGATCCTGACATGAAGTTAATTCAGAACCCACATGTTAATACAAATTCCTCAACTAGAGTGACTCTATATGAGACTCCAGCCACAAGTATGAACCTAGTATGATATCTGGAAGGATTTCAGAGCTTCATGATTTCTCCCTGTGGCATCACACAAAGCATATTCTCCCAGTACATTGATGAATTTGCTAAACAGGAAGTTCCACTGAACTTAAGTGTCAAGTGTTCTTTGGAGAGCCATATTACATAGGCATCATTGATTAGATCATTAATTATTTCCTAGGCCTCCCTTTACTCCCTAGACTAACTAAGTGCTGAAAGTCCTAATCTGAAGCTATCTAGGATATACCTGGAGTTTCCTTCTTCTGTTAAGCCTATAACATAACAAAGGCATTAGGAAATCCCATGGGTTTTGATATGCCTACCAGGAACTAGGACAATAACCAGACAAGTTCTTTTGTTTTTGTTTTAGGGCCACACTCAAACAGGGGTTACTCCAGCCAAATACTGGCTGGTATGGTGTATTTTGGGGAGCCATGTGATACAAGGAATTGAGTTTGAGCCTCCCACATGCAGGCATATACGCCTGCCCTTTGAGCTCAGCTTTGAGCCCCAGCCCCAGACAAATTCTTTACTATATCATAGTTATCAAAGTTGTAACAACAAAACAGAGCAAACATAAAATAGTCCAGCTGGTCTTGATAGCTAACCTAGATTTTTCCAAAATCTATTTGGAAAAGATTAAGTGTATTGGTTTATTTGTTTGTTTGGGAGCCACACCTGAAGTGCTTGGGGTTTACTCTTTGTTTTGTGCTCAGGAACCACTCCTGGCAATACTTAGGAGACCCTATAGGGTGCCAGGGATTACCCTGCCCACTATCTTTCCCACCCTATTTCCTTTTTTAATGACAGAATTATTTTTTTAGAAAATGAGAAAAAGATCAGAAATTATGTAGAAACAATTAAATTACCATATACCCTCAGCATTTTGGTGATCATTATTTTAGATGTTTATGTAATTTGTGTATCTATTTGGCCTTAGTAAAATCACACATAATAATCTATACTCTGGGCTGGAAGTAAGGCACAGAGGGTAAAGCACTTGCCTTGTACGTAGCCGACCCCAGTTTCATCCCCAGGATTACAGGAGTGATCCCTTAGCACCTCTTGGTATGGCCCCAAAAAGAGCAGACAAAAAAAAACAGTCTGTGCTTCAACCTAGTCTCTTGGATAACTTTTAACAGCCATAAATCCAGATCAGCATTTTATAATAGCTACATGGTTTATTTTCTTTGTTTGCCAACATACTATATTTTTACTTTCCAGTGAAAGTCTTGGTTTGGGGTCAGAGAGATAACACAGTGGGTGGGGCCTTTGCCTTGTAGGCAGCTGACCCATTTCAATCACCACCACACTGTATGGACCTCCGATTCTCACCAGGATTAATCCCTGAGCACAAAGCCAGGTGTAACTCAAAAATCAAAAATTAATTAAAAAATGTATTGTTTTTTCTTTATCTTAGAAGCAATACTGAATTATGTAATTATATATGATATATGTAATTCTATTTTTTTGTTAATTTTTTTATTGAACCACCATGAGATACAAAGTTACAGATTTTTTTTATGATTAAGATTCAGTTGTATAGTGTTTGAACACCATCTATCCCTTCACCATTTTCCACTTCCCTCTGCCAATGTTCCCAGTTTTCTTCCTCTTCCCTAACCTGCCTCAATGGTAGACACCTTTATTTTCTTAAGTCTAATTCCTAGAAGATTAATGACTCAAAAATATGTAAACTTTATAGGTTCATATTTTATGGGTCACAGAGATAGCTCAAAGGGCTAGTTATGCTTTGCATGCTTGAGGCCAGGGTTTGATCCCAGAATTGCCTGGTCTCACTGGCATTACAGGACTGACCCCCCCTCCAACTTGGGAACTGGAGTGATTATACAGTGATAGGTTGCTTGACTTGCATGTGACTAACTAACCCAGGTCCGATCCTGGCAACCCATGTGGTCCTTTAGGCATGGCCAGGAATAATTCCTGAGTGCAGAGTCAGGAGTAACACCTGAGCATTGCTGGGTGAGGCCTCAAATAAAACAAAACTAAAACCCCAACAACATAAAGATTGACCCACCAAGCATAGAATAATAGGGTATAGCCTCAGACACCAGAGTATGACTCTTGAAATTAATACTTGCTGTAAATTGTCCCCCTACCTCCACTATCTCCACTACCCAGCCGCCGCCATGCTCCAGGATGCTTTCTGGACCTTAATAAGACACTTAATACCCGTCTTCCGGGATTGCCATATTTCATAGGGTTCAAATATGGTTTGAACCATGGAAACACTTGCAAGGGCGATTAGAGGCCACCCTAAAAGCCTCTATCCCTCTCGGAGAGCCTAGCAAACTACCAGCCTTGCCCTCACAGCAGAGCCTGGCAAGTTATCCGTGGTGTATTCGATATGCCAAAACCAGTAAATACAATGGGTCTCATTCCCTTGACCCTGAAAGAGCCACCAATATGGCAGTGTTAAGAAGGATGAGGAAAAAGAGGCTGATAAAATCTCAAGGTCAAACTAGGCTGCCAAAATGAAGAAAGACAAAAATGATTGCCTGTACTTTCAATGCACGTACAGTGGCATCAGATGCATCCATCAAGGACCTGGTGGTACAAGTGCGAAAGATCAAATATGACATCATTGGTCTGACTGCAACAAGAAGGCATCAATCACGTCATGCCGTTTTCGACACTGGAGAAGAACTGTTCCTCGGAACATGAGACAAAAGAGACGTCGCAGGTGTCGGTGTCCTTGTCAACACAAACTTGGCCATGAGCATTGATTCATTAGAATGCCTAACAACCCAAAGTGGATGATTGCAGTTGAATAGATGTGGCTCACTGCTGGCAGTTTCTATCTTGGTTGTCTATGCCCAACATCCAATTATGATGGAGAAATTGAGAAGTTCTACATGGAGCTGGAGAAGTTCTATAAAGAAGACCATACCTTCTACAAGATCATTGTCAGTGATTTTAATGCCAAGATAAGACCTAGAAGATCAGCCGAAGAACTCCACATCAGGACCCATGGCCTAGAATGGAACGAACAGAGTCAGAGACTGAGTTCATCATGTCGACCAAGACCATCCATGGTAACTCACAGTTCCAGAAGGCTGAATCTAAATGTTGGACTTGGGAGTCTCCCAGTGGATGGTTCCACAACGAAATTGACCACATCATATTCAATCGACGGTTTTGCCTGACCGATGTCGCTGTTGTCCCAAAATTCCAAACGGGATCGGACCTTTGTCTCTTTTGTGCAGAATTCTACTTCCCGGAGCGGGGAGAAAGAGCTGCAAAATTTAAGAAGAGAACACCTGGCTCCTCCCACCACCGCTGCCGCCCTGAGTCACTGCCTGGCTCCGTAGCGCTCGCTGCCAATACTTGGTGTTCTTACAACATGGCGGATATTGACAACAAAGAACAGGGTGAGCTTGATCAAGATTTGGATGATATTGAAGAAGTAGAAGAGGAAGAAACTGGTGAAGAAACAAAAATCAAAGCGCATCAGTTGACTGTTCAGATGATGCAGAATCCTCAGATTCTTGCAGCCCTTCAAGAAAGACTTGATGGTCTGGTAGAAACACCAACAGGATACATTGAAAGCTTGCCTAAGGTTGTTAAAAGACGAGCGAATGCTCTCAAAAACCTTCAAGTTAAATGTACACAGATAGAAGCCAAGTTTTATGAGGAAGTTCATGATCTTGAAAGAAAGTATGCTGTTCTCTATCAG